TCCAACACGCCTCAGTCTCCGCCACTCATTGGGCACGCTCAGTAGGCACAAGGCCTCCCTGGGCACGGTGCTGGCTTTCCCCCTTAAATCATCCCTCATTCTCATCTTTTTTCACTCGCTCCTTTCAGCACTGAGAGGCTGAGAGGCCAGCTGGGTGACTGGAAGAGGGATGAGAGAGATATCATTCTCATTTCTCTTTATTTCCTCACACTTCCCCTTCCTGAAAAAAGCCCTTCACTCTCGTAAGTCTTTTTATCTCATATCTGTGCTTAAAGTCCCTTTTTTCCCCTGAAATGTGGACGTAATATGAAGAAAAGGGATGAGATAATTTCTTTTGTTGCTCATGCAGTTTCACCTGTCACAGGATTTTTGTTATAAACACGCCACTTTATCTCGAAACAGGTCAGAATATGCAAATTTCTCAACTAGAATCTGAAAAAGTAAAAACAAGAGAAACTCTTGTCTCTCTCACTTTCCTGCTGACAGATCCTTTTTCACTCGTTTTACAAAAACTAAAGGCTTCACTGCAAAGACTTGTTGAAAGAGATACCTTTTGCAGTGTACCAATCATTCAGCTTTGGCTTTTTTCTCCCTTAACTTCTCCAGCACACAAGTGGCATCAGTGAAATAAAATTAGCCTCACTCCATTGTTTCTGCAGTGACAGGGAGCATTTTCTCATTTCCACTACACTTCACTCTATTGTTCAAACCCTCACATTTGCGGCTACCTTGCTCTCCATTTTGCACCTTCTGTATTTGCATGTCCCCAGCTTCACCCCTTTCATCTCAGTGATAGCACGGTAAAGACATCCTCCCCCCACTGACTCCCCTCTCCTCCCCTCCCTCCCCCCTCTTCATCCCTCCCTTGTCCCCCTCTCTCGGTAATCTGGCCCTGTCTGTAACAGTGGAGGTGCTGGCTGATTGAAACAAACGGCCGCTGATTGCTGATCAGCCAGCTGTAAAGCCTGGCAAGGATATGAGCTAATGAAAAAATGGACCTGATTTGAGAGGCACAGAGCGTCGCTCACCCCGCTAGCCCTGCTGTCCCCTGCTGTTACCCTCTATCCCTCCATTCCTTCCTCGTCTTCCTCCTATCACCTCCTCCACCTCATCCTGTCTGCCTATCATTGTCAGCTATTTTTACAAGGGGAGAGAGGAAGAAAGGGGGAGACATGTAAAGGATTGGTTGGTGCTGGTTGTTTAATGGCGGTAACGAGAAACAAGCAGGTGGTCAGCTTGTGTTTGTGTCCTTTTTTCTTTTACCTCTAATCTTCAGGAACAACTGTCCTCAGGATTACACATTTTTAGGACACTTTGGCCTTTAAGGACCTTTTATGTTTGGATTTTATCAGCATAAACATGTACTCATTAAAAAGTCATGGTGTAATTTACCAATTAGTGGTATTAAAGCTTTATATAATGATTTAAAGGATGTGTTCAATGATATTCAAATGCAGAATAGCTGATCATTGTATGCGTTTGATATTCTTGCTTTTAAATGCAACAAGTAATCTTTTGTAATAAAATTGCAAAGCGTACTGTAATGGCATATAAAGGATATTTGTGCACATAATGGACCACTTAGGCCACAATGAACATCTTGTGTTTGTTTTTGCACATTTTGATAATTTCCCTCCCCATTTTGATGCACACAAAGGCACAAAGTAGCACACTCTGACCCCCCCATCTTGTAGGGTCAGCGCTAAAGTGGGCAATAATTGCTTGTGGCAACTCATTAGAATTGGTGATTTGGTGAAAGTAAAGTGGAGAAATAAGAGAAAACACACAAATAAATGCCAGCACATACACATGCTGCACACGCAAAAGCATATACGCACACAAAAATCAAGGGGGACGAGCACGTACTCACACACACACACACACCTTCAATGCTAAGATGATAAATTAAAATCTTCATGACCCTGTGTACACAAAATTAGCCACAGGGCCAACAGACCTGCATTAGAGCTGTGCATAGTAACAGAGAAGAACTCTAATTGGGGGTCATTATTTAAGCTGAGAGAGGGAAAGGCTGAAGACTCTCATTTTCACTCCTCTTTTGCCTTCTTTTTTATTTGACAGGCGCAGTAAATTAAGAAAGTGGTGATATTTAATACCTTTTAACCTCCCCGAGACAGTTTTCTGATCAATTACTAGAGCATGCTGTAATTGTTAGCCTGGATAATGATTCCACATGTGAGAGAGCCGTGCTAAGATGAAGCCCTGAGTGCAATTACCTTAAACCCCTCAAGTGTGCTGGTGTCTGGAGAGGACATCATGGAAAGAGGGAGTTAGTAAGACGTGCAGAAAGAACCTGGAGAAGAGGAAAAAGGCTGCCATATGAGGAGGAAGAAGCTGATGTCAGATCATCTGACAGGGAGGAGAAATTCCTGCTAACACAGGCTATCTAGACCTTCAGCAAAGGTTCGAGAATCTTATTAAGATGTAAATATGTCGCTAAACTAATGCAAATGTTTGTGCACTTAATGTTTAGTACTAATGAGCATACGGTTGCATGCTAACATCATTTTGATGCTAAACACTAACTGAATAACATTAACATGCTCGTATTGTTATTGAAGCCGTTTGTACATGCTTGTGTTAGCATTTAGCTTAAATGCATAAATGCAGCAGAGCAGTTAGTGTCTTGATCGCGTCTTACAGGCTGTTATTGGATTTACTGTCACGTTGCTATTTAAAGCAACTTTTCTGTATACACCACTGACCTACGGCCCCAGCTAATGACTGATGGCAGCACTACAGCTTTAGACGTGACAGACAGTGATGAAGATGTTCATAACTTGTTTAACTGACTACGACAGGGGTCGGCAACCTTAAACACTCAAAGAGCCATTTGGACCTGTTTACCACAGAAAAGAAAACACAGAGCCACATAATCGCTTTGGCATCTAATATGAAGATAGCACTGCAAATCTTTTTTTTTTTTAACCTTTATACAAAGTATATAAAAAACTGTTGTGCTGCATTGATGTAATGAATGAACTTCTGCCGAGAAAACAAAGTTTTATTTCTGCAGGCAGACAAAAATGTTTTGAACACTTTGAATGAACCTTAAGGACCCACTACGATGAAAATCCTGTTTTTCTAGTTTTCAACATGTTCATATGGTATTTTTCTGATGCTACACGACATATCATGGGAAAACTAAGTGTGAAATTGCATTTCTGAGTACTTTTGCATTCAAATCATTGTAAATCTCTGGCAGACCTGAACGGCAGGTTCAGTTACAGTAGGATTTCCTATGTCACAACTACAAAATTCCACCCCCAGAGCCTTGCTATGCAGGCCTGACTCGGACAGAACAAGTGAGTGGGTGTGAGTGGATTGCAGTGCTCGTAAATATAATATTAGATTTAATTGCTTAATGTGATTTTCGGTCCTGAACCCCAGCCAACAGCGTCTCCAGATCAGGGCTATGTGACGTCTGCTTCATCTTCACACAGATTTTCAGTTTTCACAAGTCGGCAGTCATGACACATTTTTTTAGCAACAAAAACATTTACGCGGTTTATTTAATGTTAAAAGAGCATCATAATCTTAGAATTCTTTAGAATTACATAAAAAAAACTAACTTAAATAAAATTATCTTAAATTAATTATATATTATTTATTTTCCAAATCCAAAGGGAGCTACAGCAGAGGGATGAAAGAGCTCCGGAGCCACGGGTTGCCGACCCCTGGACTAAGATGTTACACAAATCAAGTTATTTTGAAGCATAATCCTTTCAAAGGAAAACAGACGCCTTAGAACCTTCAATTATTTAAATGATTGTTATAGTGCTTAAGTTACATGAGGTTATCTATGTATGTTAGCTTGTGAGCCAGCTAGGTAGCTGTTGTTAGGCAGTAAGGCAGCACTATGTGATGAAAGTCTATGGGCGAGAATCCTCTGTAAATGGGTTAGTTCATTTCAGTGCAGACTGAGTGGCCTAGGCGTGCTACTGGGGCTGGATCCTTGAAAGAATCTTACTTCTGAGAGGGGTAGCTGTAGTTAGACACCGAAGTCCATGAAGGATCTATATGTTCATCACAATAACTGCCAGGTTTATGTTGATGAGATTTCACCATTTATCAGCTAACTTGCCCCATAGTTTCATTTAAAAGAAATAGTTGATACAAATAAAGACTAAAGGAAATTAAAAACTGAGTTGGCATTCACCCAATAGCAAGAAGACTAAAGCCGTCAGAAAGCTAACCAGTTCTAAATATCAATGCAGAAAGTGGTAAGCTTCCAGTGTTGTGTTTACAGCTTGTTTTCCCCTGCAGTTACTGCAGGTTTAATGCATTCTTTTCAGTTCCATCTGAAAACTGACCTTGGTTGACAAGTGTTGACAAGTGTTGTTGTGTTGTTGACGAGACATCACTTCTCTGTATGGGTTGCCATATGCTGGCATGTGGGCATAGCAATGTGTTAATGTGCATATTTGTATAGGGCTAGTTTGCATATGTACAACTTCTGGGTTATGTTGGAATGACATGTCTGCCATCCTTTTATTGAAAAACCTATGTGGGTGTCCCTTTCTTGGCTGTGAAAAGTGTATGTAGCCAAGCAATTTAAGATCAAATTACACCCTGTGAAATCTCATGCTTGGCCTGACAGCCCCCCAAACACTAAATAAATCACCTTTTTACTGTGGAGGAAACTGCGTGGCTCAGCTGCACATGAGAGCACTCCCATTTTAAACAGCACGTATTTACACAGCACACCCACAGCTCTCACTCGCTATCACTGACCAAAAAGGAGAGGCACATTCACATTAGCAGGACTTTGAAACCAGCTTTAGTTTGGAGTGCATTTCCTCACTGATCTGCATGTTTGGTATCTCAGTCTTGGAATGAAACGCAGTCTTAAATATTCATGACAAACCGCAACAGTGTGCCAAAATGTCCCACATGAGCAGAGGCATGGTTTCTAAACAGAAATTCTCATACAGATGTAAAATCCTGAGGCACATTTATAGAGTAGTGAAGTCAAAGTTAAGTTTAATTCAAAAGATTTTTGAACAAAATTGGAACATCTGTTATCAGTTGACACACAATAGGACTCAGTCAGAAGTTTGGGTCAGTAATAACATGAATCATTACACCTATGACCGGTCTATTTCTCATGGAAAACCTGCGTTTGTAATCTACAAAGAATTGGTTTGAAATTTAGCAAAGTAAAGGACTCAAACCCACATTTATCTTACCAAACAAAGTACAAGAAAACAAAAGAGCAGCCGCTCCACAGCTTTCACAGAGCCTTAATTTGTTACTTCCACCCTTGAACTGCTCAACTGTTTTGCATAAAGTGCAAGATTTATCATGGGAGGTGGTAAGAATGTGAACAAATAGTGAAATTTCAAACAAACACAATGCTTGATTTCTTCAAATATTGAACAGTTGGTGGTGTTATCTGGCTCGGTGACCCAGCGCTCATAGCAGGCAGAGCGGAGTGGCATGGCCTGACCTCCTGTCTGCGGCAAGGCTGGCTGGAGGCTGAGGAGAGCCAAGAGAGAGAGGGAGAAGGGGAGAAGAGACAGGCAGAAAAGGACGAGGGCAAATAAAATACCAGACGCCTGCACGAGAAACACACACAAAACTAAACTAGCATGAACCCGCTGCCATCCTCCCTCCCCCCCAACATCAAAAATGTTAAGGCCATCTGTTTTTTTACGCCAGTAAACAACAATGGACTGTCAATAACAACAGAGCCGGTGAGTACACTTGTTAAATATTTAACAAAAGTAAGCGGCTGTAGGTGTAGAAGTTAAAGGTCTTACATTAAGTTTTTTTCTTTAAGGGTTGAATGGCGATTCTATTTCCCATCCCTGAGTTATTTTTATTATCAGCATTTTCAATTCATTTCAGTATTTCAGAATAATTCCATTCTGTTTCCCACATATTTCTCCACTAGATAGAGTACATTTTAGAGTTGAAGACCAAGACAAATATGTTGTGGAAATATTTCCCATCAGCTTTTTACTTTCTCCACCATCTGTTGTCATCAGAAATTCAAAATCTTTGTTTGCACTGGCAAAGCAGCACCTTCTTCTCATTCTGGGCTGTAAAGCAACCAGCCTTGTTGTTGTAAAGTAAGAGAGCTGGCAGATAGAGGAAGAAGCAACCTGCCTAATCAACAATATCGACAGGAGCTGTTTTAATTTCCCACCGAAACACCATTCTACAGGTGTGTTGGAAACAAAACATGAATATTTTCACATTTTTTAGATTGTTTTTTAAGTTGACAAAGACAGTTGCTTCCAAATCATGATGGGCCTCAAGTGGCTGGATTTGTGCCAGGGAAAACATGCAAAAAGAGAAAAAAAAGCAACGCCAGCAATATGTTTCATCCCCAGCAAAGAAATTGAGTTATTCTGAGTCGTGAAAGCCTTTAGATTTACACTCCTTTATTGCATTAGATATGGTCGATACCATTTTCTTCAAAAACAATCAATTGTTAAACAAGCTGGTTGCATATCTTGTCTTCCAAATAGTTGGTAGTGAAGCCAATCCAATCAGGAAATGATCACAAGTTGAACTAAGCCAATGCAAGAAAGTGTAATCAGAAGCTACTCCATTGTTTAGTGCCTAGTATAAAATCCAGCTCGTCTTTGAAACATGATACTAAAAATATCGTTGATAAGTTTCAGACCTGCTTTTGACCTCTTTACCAGTGGGTCCTTTTTTCAAATCGTTGTTTCTTGAACATTCACGTGAGCATGAGGCTTCCAGGGTTTACAAAATAATCCATTGACCACCAGTTTATGGCCTCGACAAGTGAACATGAATACTGCTGCCAGCAACCACACCAGCTTGTTAACATGAATGCATCCCATGCTTGAATGGCAATCCCTTCATCCATTCATACATTATATATGCTGCTTGACCTGTCCTGGTTGCAGTGGGGTTGAAGCCTATCCAAGCTTCCAGGCAGGCCAAAGATCTGAGACACTCTCGACGGGTTGCCAGTCTAACAGGGGCTGACCATAGACTGTATATACTATGGACAACTTGGCTCCGCCTTCTGTCACTATACGAATTTGAAGTGGAATTACTCTAGGTATTTACTGGATTTTCTCCACTTCCTGGAACCACCGCTTGCACTGTATTAATGTACGCACTCCACCACTTACACAGTAGCATTGTACGCATTCGGCGGGAGAGACATCAAGAGTCACTGTGATGACGCTCAGCTCAAACAGCAGAATCCCCAAGGTGAGCTATGCAATCTTCATACCCCCATGAAAACATGAACCCCCCAATAACTTTTAAAAATGGAGCTGCACAGAAAAAAGAGGACTTGAGAACAAACCAGTCTTACAGCAACTACACAGCAACATCGTAACCAGAGGGGAGAAAAATGTATATTCTGTGTAATTAGGCCTGTCACGATAACAATTTTCGCTGGACGATAATTGTGCTACAAATTATCGCCGATAAACGATATTATTGACACCGTTTTTAAATTATAGATAATGATATGAAATGGCATAATAATGCGAGTACACCGTGTCAAAAGTGATAAACTTTAATTTCACCCACGACGAAGACGTAACGTTGACGAGCTAAACATAAGTCGGAGATGACTAAAATGTGACGAGACGAAAGTGTGTTTACGTTGATGGGACGAGACGAAAATGACGAACAGAGTTGCAAAACTCAGTCAGTTAAACGCTAAACATATAGGAGCAGATCAGTCCGCTCTGACAGCTCTCGTCAGCCTGCTGTGCTCCTCCAACACACAGACACACGCGCGCGCGCGCACACACGTGGAGTTTTGTGGTTGACGAAAACAAAACTGGTTTAAAGCCGAAATATTCCCACACTTGGGCTGTTGCGTTCGGTTTAGACACCAAAGCTGTCGTGTTCATTCTGTTAGCTTGCTTTTCACTCACGACGCTCACTTGCAGCACTGTATCCAAAAGTCTGTGTCTGTGTGCCTGTGCGCGCCTACGTGTACCTGCGCGCGCGCCCCCTCGTAACAAAGACACTGAATGACTGACAGGAGGGTTCACTAACTCTGTTCATTCCGCTATAGAGCCAACGCCCCCAGGTGCCGAGAAAAATACGCAGAGTGAGACCTCTTCTCTCATCCAGCGTGTTTGGAAAACAAACGCGCGTCAATTATCGAGGCTGGCAAAGTTATCGACCTCGTTTTTATTTATCGAGCGATAAGGCGATTAATTGATTATCGCGACAGGCCTATGTGTAATAAATTTCTAAAGTTTGTCCACAGCTCCATAGGGAGGTGGCTTCACCCAACAAGGAGGCAGACGGCGTCCATTCTTTATACAGTCTATGGGGCTACCATAAAGAGACAAACAACCAGACGTACTCACACTCATGAGTAATATAGAGTCACCAGTGGACCCAGCAAGCATGTATATGGACTGGTTTTAAGGTCCAACTTGTTAAATATCTTTACAATGCAAAAGAGCTGCATTAGAATTTCAACACAAGAAAATAGTTAAAGCCTGAATCAATAGTTAAGAGGTGCTGAAGGTTTTTAGTCATAATTACAAATTATCAGGAAGATCTATTAAAGTTTACCGCTTGATCAAACGTTGAACTGAGGGTTTTTCCTACAAAATGCTCCCTATATTATACCCTATGTTTGGCCCCATGGGCATAGGTTTGAGTATTCAAAAGATAACAGACAACAGTTGAAAGATCCAGTGGCTGAAAAGTCAGTAAAAGTGGTGAAACAACTCAGTGAGGTGATGTTTTCACATTCAGTAGAGCTGATTCCCTCGACTCTCCTTCCTTTATAATAGAAACAGACGAGGATGATTTACCTTCACAGCCACTGAGATGATCCACGCAGCAGATGTTTTACACTTTCTGACCATTTATTTGTAGAGTGGGAGAGGGAGGGGGGGAGTTGGGAGGGGTATAATTAGGATTTATGGAGTGAATCTGCAGAGTTGCAAAGGCGACTGATGATCCCTCCTGTAAGAAGTGTCTTTGTCTGCCAGGTGAGGGATAACGGACGGCGCCATGTTGACAAGGGCAAGGACAAGAAGCTGGATGTTTTAGCGTTACTCACGGGGTCCCTCATCCGCTTAGCACAGATGAACACACAGATATGCGTCTATGCAGTGCATGCCAAACACAAACACACACACTCACACACACACAGAAACAAAACGCATCTGTGTATATTAAAAAGATGCACTTTTGGGTGACGCACACATACAGGAAGACTTATGCATGTGTACAAAGCAAATTCATGTGTTGCAGAAGAAGTTCAGTTTAACGTATTTTTATAAGGGTACGTGCAAATATATACCATGAATTTGCATGCATGTAGAAGCCCTGACACGTATGATGTGCATGCATGAATGTTTGCACACTGGCTTAACCTTCAAATCCTGCTGTCCAGCTGACAAGCAGGTACTCTTGCACCTGCAGTGCAGACATGAATGCATGCACACTTGCAAAAAATAAGAGTGAGCTCATATGCTGCAGAAAAGCAACATGCATTTGAAGGATAAGTGCATGCAGATAGCTGTGCAAAGACAGCAGTAACATGGATGATATGCATATGTCTGTTTAAAATCAGCACCTTTTTACAGGCTTCCAAGATTTATTGTGAGCCCACACACTCATCCTGATTTCAGTATATTGTCTGAGGTCCTCTTGCACAGCTTGTCCCTCTTGAGGTTATGGAGGCACCAGATCAGCCCCAGTCCAGCTCAACATTTGACTAAAGAGGAAGCCCCCTCTTCAGTAAATGAACTACTTTTGTTGGAGTATTTTATGTCATGGCCAAGTTTCATGCCATCACACAAACACTGCTCCAAAGTACCTCCTAATGGGGAGTCAACCAGATGACTCCCATTTGTATTTCTGTTTCTCTCTCCGAGCCCCTGGCCTGTAGCCTGAAGCCTGCCAGCGGTCATTAAATTGGTTATTTACAGTAAACAGCGCTATAATCCTGTCACAACCTCTCCCTCGTCCTTCCACAAAGCTTCAGCCAATGTTTGGTGGCGAGAGGAGCGAGTGTTAAATGGGTATTGAAGTGACGTTATCTGGATTTCTTTCTCTCTTTTTTCCCTTCGATGGATGTGGAGCAGGGTTTGTTTGTCTAAATGTTAGCACTTTGGAAGAGCTCCACAGCTGTGGGTGCCGAGATCACGTTGGAGGTTTCACTGCACGCACACACGCATAAAGACACACACACACACTGCTCACTCACACTCTGACAGGCAGCCATGTTGGGCTGGCAGCTCAACAACACAAAGCTTTTATCTGTCAGTGGTCAAGCCTGACTGAACCCCCGCTACATTATAGGCACTCACACACACACACACACACACACTCACACACACTTTCTCCCAAACACACACACACATGCACTTTGAAAAAGTGCCATTTCTATTTTTTTTTCTCTTTAAAACCTGGCTCAAATCTGCTCTTTTCCGGAAATTAGCCATCTGTGCTGCCCGTGAGTGACAGAATGTTCATATCAATCCTTCCAGGAGATGATGAGCACCCCGTCTGCACACACAACACCCCCACACACACACCCACACACACACACACACACACATGGCAACATTTCCAGGAGCGAGTCATTTGTGAATTTGTTTCCACTACGGATAATGGCATGAAGTGAACCTTCCCTTTGAAACAGATTACTTTGGTTTTGATTCTCATGGCCACTCACACAAATACAGTACACTCACACACAATATGACCACATGTCACACAAGATAGAGAGTATGTGGAAGAGAAACAGAGAGCAGACAAACACACAAACACACTTCCAAGATTCCTGCAGGACAAAGATGGCTGGTGGTTAATGAATCTTAGTTAACTCCATTAGATTGAAAGATGAGTGCTGTCCGAATGTGCCTTCCTGTGTATGTGTTTTTTTCCTGTCTCTCTGTCTTCTTCCTCTCTGCCTCGATTTTTTACGCTTGAATTTCGACGAATGGCTTTCATCAGCAAAGCGCATCTCATTAGCGGCGATGATGCGCCGTATGTTGATCATCATCATCTGTGAGTGGACTGATGAGCGATGAATGTCAGCCGTAATGGAGGCGACGACGCTGCGTCCCGTAAACCCACGGCGACACACTCATGCTAATTACTCCATATAGCGCCGTTACCCGCTGCAAAACGGCTGCAGCGGCACCAGTAGGAGCAGAAGTGGAAATGACAATCATAATGAAGCATATCAGGTGCATCAGTTCACTAAATGCAAGCAGGGTCTGCTCTAAAAGACTGAAGACAGAATAGGAAAAAACAGCACCACTGATGACTGACATGATGGTATTTGTTCTGTGTAAGCTTTTGAGTCTACCTCCATCAGAGGGAATGCTGATCCTGCTCCAAACAGGCCTTATTTACAATGGTGGAAAATATGCTCAAGTTCACCTCCTCTAATAATATTTTTTTAAACTATTTAAAGTGTACTCAGTGGTCTTTAAATTGTGATTATGAAGTTTTTTTTCAGCCAAACTCATGTTACCCGTGTCATTTTCAAGGACTTTTTTTTCAGTAGCTCATTAACTAATCGCCTCTGAGTCGTGGGCAGAGACAGCGCTGCTCTGCACACTCCTCTTCATACTAGCTTGTAGCCTAACATTGCTGGTGTTGTAGAAGTGGCAGGTAAAAAAGGACTTTTTCAGCTCTCGGACACTAATTTAGGGACATGATGAAAGGTAATATCATTATTAGTTTTCTGCCATATGAACATGTAGACAACAAGAAAAATTTTCATCAGAGTGGGTCTTGAACTACCTTGGTAGGATTTTAGTTCTGAGGAAAATACTGTTTTCTGTGATATACTTTTTGCTGTCTTTGTCTTTACTCATGAAATAACACCAAAAATGACACAAGGTTGAGCAAAACTTACCAAGAGTGCATTTGCTTCGGAAACATAAGATACAACGGTAAAATGACAATGACCTTCACTTCCAGCACTTAAGTGTTGTAATTCAAGACTCAGACTTCAACTTGAGTATCTTCCCTCTGCTGTATGGCAACAATGACGGCTTATTCGGTGAATTTTGGCAGCTGTCTGGGACAAACAGTACAGTCTATGTCTTTGCTCATCCTCCACTGAACATGCCTCGGAGAATTTTCAAAATTAAAATCTTTTCATTCTTCCTTTTATGTTGCTGACGTACGACTCCCAGCATAGCCTAACTTAGGAAAATATAAACAAAGGCTCTTTTGGTTCGCTTGCCAAAATGACTTTATAGGAATCTGACCCTGTGACAGTGAAGGAAGACATGAAGAATCACTTCATAGAAACAGTCAGTACTGAGGTTTGTGATTATCTGGTTGACTTAAGCAGGTTGCAAAGAGTCATCAGGATTACACAGAGCTGTTTCATTTCAGTTAAAACTCGAGTTTGAGTATCTTTTTTCTCTGTATTCAATACTCATATCTGCTTAGTGGAAGATAGGTACATCATGCAGCTGTTGGGCAGAAACCTTGTATCTCCATGTGTTCATTGCATAAATCACACAGCTGACCTTTCTACATGTTTGTCAGCATAAGCTTTATAAAACTAAAAGGATGAAAAGTATCAGAAATAAGCTTGGGGTTGAATATCATGTGAGTAGTTTTATGAAAAACATGTTTGTTCTTCACTTCCTTGGATGTAATAGTTCCCGGCTTCTGCCCTACATCATCAGATCTAGATAAGAGCAATGCCACAACTTGACCAATACCTTCAGAAAATGTGAAAAATTCAATATGTACATGGATAAATGCAAAACAGTTTTCACGGCATAGTTAGTTAGCATTAGGGGTTTGCAATGCTCGTAAGAAAGCTAATTATGATATTAACTTTTATCATGTCTCCAAAGTCTCAGAGTTGAATAGCTCCTATGTTACCTGCCACTTCTACTACACCGGCAATGTTAGGCTGCAAGCTAGCATGAAGAGAAGTGTGCAGAGCAGCGCTGTCTCCGCCCACGACTCAGAGGCGAATCGCTAATGAGCTACTGGAGCTCTGCAGAAGAAAAGTCCTAGAAAACGACACAGGTAATGTGGTTTTGGGACTTCAAGTTGTGCAGAGTGAGTAACTTGTTCAATATATGTCCTGGTTAATATTCGGTTAAAAGGGTGCATCACCTGGTTAATCCAAGGTTTGGCTCCTTTAACCTCTGATTGTTGATACCAACATCTGTTTCCATCTTAGGCTGATCAGAATCAAACCCACTATTACACAGGTTAACAGTCAAAGTCTGGGCTTGCTTGACTGACACCAACTTTGTCATCCATGTTTAAAGGCAGGGCAGAAATATATGCTGACATTTTTGCCAATCATCCCCACCAGCATGCACTCACCCTTGCACATCACAGGTGTCTCTTTTCACAAGTGACAGAAGGATGCCGATATGGCAATATTTTTTTTTCTTTGTTTGAGGGCGTTTGTTTGTGACATCGCACCTCATGCTAACTTGCAAATTATTGAGAGCCGGGGTAACAATAGCACACGACTCCTTTGTCCTCTCACCACTCGGGTTGTGGCTGCTGATGCTGTGATTCTCCTGAAATCCACTTTGGCTGGGACACAAATGAGACAGAGAGAGAAAACACCGTCTGGAAAACACCCTCAAGGCTCCAGTCCTTGAACCAGCGGTCAGTCTGGACACTGCGGGAGATTTGGCCAAAACAACTGTTATTGTTTTGCAAGTTCAAAGTGTATTCAAGTGGATGGTGAAATTTCATGTCTTTGCTTTCATGTGAGTAAGATAGCCCAGTTTGCTACTGGATCCCTGCAAGTTGTTGTTAATTAATTAGAAATAGATTGTTACTCCAAAATATGTATCTTTAGCTGGCATTACTGTCCTGTTAAAGACATGGTATCAAAGTTTGCTCTTTTAAAGTTGAGCGTTTCCTTTAGTTTCTCCAGGTTTGCTCCCAAAAGTCAGCTGGCCTCTCCTCTGTTGTTTTTTCTAATCTGAAGTCTCCAACTTCCATGAGAGAGAAAGAGAGGGTTGGTTGGAAAGAAAGAAAGAGTGTGTACCTCCGCTCCAGTTTGTAGAGATTTATGAGTGGACCAAACCAAAGAGTGTAAGAGTGTATACTCAGAGAGAGTTTGGGAGAGGAGATTTACGATCCGCCGCATGGGTCATAATTCAAAGTTCACGCTCACATATATCACATTTTGAATCACATAGATTATGAGAGGGAACAGATTTATCATACACACAGGTAGCACATGTGCAGGCCTCCAAAAAGCAGAGAAAAGCAAAAAACAACACCCCCGCACAAACTCACACACCAGATGGTTTTTCATTTTAAGGTAATGTGATCCTCACATACTGCAAATCTGGTAATATGAGGACTTTAAATCAGTGTCGGTGATTGCTTTAATCTATGATATGTTGTAACAATCAGTCTCTTTTAATGTTTAAAAGTAACAGCACAGGTTGTTTGTCATCAAAGCTTGTTTTCTTACCCCTCCTATAAGCAGTCAGTAATTTTGCTGTCACTATATGCTATAAATAACCGATCCCTGGCATAAACATGCAGGTTTTTGATTGCAGGAACATCCATTTGGATAGCAGTTCTTGATCAAATGTTGGGGCCGCTTTATGTCTCATCCTGTCCGGTGGAAAAGTCTTTTACAAGTCTATTTTGATGTAAACTTTACTTTTCTATTTCCTATGATTTACTGTTCAGAGTGTGTTGAATGTTTCATGTACCACAGAGGCCACTCTGTTGAAACCCATTCACCTCTGAACACACAAAAACCATCTATTTCTGGTCCTGTTTGTTAAATATTAACCACACATTCCTGCCGTCTCATCCACTGTGTGGTAGAGTGTGCGTGTGCATGTGTGTTTGGGAGACACAATGAGAAAGAAAGCAAAATGCATGACCTCTGTTCAATGTGTGTTTTAAATGTATGCCTATGAGAGAGCTTCTGTATAGGAACTTGGCGCCCATCTTGTGGTCCTTTAGGTCCTTTTTATGTTTCTATGACAACAGCAACACCCTTTATACCGACTCTCACACAATGCCGCCATTCTGAAAGTTCTAAAAATTTGTACTAATTCACTTTGCAAGTTGAGAGCACAATCAAATAAGTAAGCTCAGATTTTCCTGTATCAAGTCCTTCTCCTAATCAAAAGTAGTCCTGCATTGTGTCAAATCAGGCACATTTTTTTAATTTCAAGGTGAGGGCTGTTGTTTGAGAATTTTTAAAGGGTTAGTCAAACAAATAAAACAAGTGTTTTATTTTTCTGCTTTTTGATAAAGTTGGAGAAACTCGTTGAAAGAGTACAGCCAACAGAGCAGAAGCTGACATTTTCTGAATTGCAGTTTCCAGGATTTGAAAGGAGCTTCATTCCACAACAATCCAACAAACAACATCTGACAGCAGACAGTCGCCCTTTTCATAGTGCAAGTCTGCGACAGCCTGCGTCATAATGCAGTTCCTGTCCCGTCCTTGTAACGCCACTGGTACTACTACAGTGGGGTTAACTTGGTTGCACCTTCACCCCTATAAGACAAACACATTGAAGGCAAGACTTTATAGAGACATAAACATCCTACTCTGAATAGGCAATATCAAAGAAGCCATTTACTGCCTCCTTCATATGAACATGCTTCTTTTCAAATCCTTTCTCTGGTTTTATTTTGAAGCCTTGACTCGTGCCTTTAAAGATGGCCCTCATGACACCTTCAGGGGATGAGCGGTAAATGTTCAAACTCTGAAAAGTTTTTCTGAAGTAGCTGAGTAGCAACAGCTGTATCGGCACTGTAGTTACTAATACTTTGATACCTACAAAGTTCCCATTTCATATTATATACTCTCTAAATATTTCAGTACTAAAAAGTGCTTTTGAAAAAATATCAGTCACTGTTATGAGCTGATGTCAGTCATGTTCTGTAACCTCTATATACCTCCTGGTCAAGGTTGATATGACTGTGGACACCAATCAACATATGCAAAGTACTTAGTCCTCCTCAATTCTGTGAATAAAGGGTAAAATATGGAGAAAAATGCTGACAAATGTACAAATCAGTCAACCTGGGAGTGACACAGAGACCAAAGACAGACAGAATCAAGTTGCCCCCATCAGTCAGATACATGTACTGTTGTCACCTGATATGGATAAGGACTTTGTCAAACTAAGTCCAAACAAACAAATAAGTACAAATACCAGAAACTTGTAATGTACTTCATTCTGATCATTCCCCTTTTCCACCAAAGCTTATTACAGTCCAAAAGGGAAATGGTGTAGACAAGCTTTCACTTTATTGTGATTTGACAGAGTCAGTTGAAAGCTCCTCATTCCTAAACACGCGCGCAGAGCGTTAGGGTTATCCATCCCAGTGCATGAGGCGCATGGGCAAAAAAAGAAAACAAAAAAAGGATTTTCATGGGCCCCTCTCCCTACTCGTGCGCTGGGTAGTCAGGTCCACTCTTCCCCCTACTTCCAAAATAAAATAAATAAATTTTAAAGTAATATATTCACAATGAACAAAAGATTTGAGTGTCAAAATTCAGCAGGATGAGTTTTTTTCATCATATGTCACGACTTAAGAATGAAGTGGATGAGACAAGATGAGGGCACCAAAACTGAAACAAACTAAAAGCTCCTCACTGGAGCTTAAATAGTTTGTGTACAAGGATCATTGGGGTTTTATTGGCAATAAACTAGAATGAAGTTCATCGTTTATCAATACAATGTCTTGTTTTTGGTGTGGGATAGTGATCATATTTAATATTTTACTCCATTATCTTATATCTTGTCTCTGTCTTGTCTCGTTATATCTTGTACCATCCATTTAAGAGCAGGTGACATTCAGGCAATGACACCATGCTGATAAACTTCAAGGCCACATGTGCAGTATTGTAGCTCTGGAGTGTTTGTGTATTCAGGACTGAAATTTTGTCTTCCTATTTGTGCTCGGCTCAGGTGAAGAGAACGGCAAGATTCCCCATTTTGATGATGCAACGTTACTTTTGGTCTGAACCTTCTCGCTGGCCTCCATGAGACAATTAATGAGAGTGTTTTGTTTTCTGGAGGCTCAGTTCTTGTAAAAGTCAGTGTGATGAAGCTCTTGTTTTTCTTTTTTTTCCCCGTTATCTTGACCTTGTTGAAGCCTCCATCACCCTTCTAAATTAATATTCAAAAGCCCTTAATTAAAAACCCGACACCCCATCCTCCTCTGGAGCAGGATAAACAAATCTGGGGCTGTTTGTTCCCTTCTGGCCCATCCTATACTCTATTTTAATGATTTCACTTCAACCCCAGAAAAAAAAAAAAAAAAAAGCAAGATGGCACGATGCAGCAGAATGTGACATAAAAAGATGAAGACAAGATATAGCTGGGGGTGAGTGAGGAGAGAAGTGGTGGCGGCAACGGCAGGGGGGTGTAGTGTGTTTCGGAGTCGTAGTTAATTACAAAAAGCATTAATGTTTTATTAACCCCTTATCAGTAATTAATCAGAGGTCTTTGATGTAAAGTTCAGCTTACAAAAGCAGCCGAAAAAAAGAAAATCTCTCTCCATATTAGCCTATTAAGCCGGCTGGTATGGACCAGTCTTGCTAACTGCAGAGTGCAGGACAGCCTCCGCAGGCATTAAAGCATTTGTTTTGACAGCGCTGTTTGTTTTCTACTCCCAGAAGCCATTGCAGTGCACCTCCAACTCCCACTAGTCTCTCACCAAAGGAGCCGGTTTGCATTTCAAATATGATGGAGCTATTGCATATTGTGCACAAAATTCTACCTTTCCCCCAATGTTTCCATGGATTCTTGTGTGTAGTATGTTGTTCTTGACTGGCAGACAAAATTAGATGTTTTTTTTTTTTTTTCCACCTCTAATACAATGTTGAATTATGTACTCGCTGTTTAACACTCTTTGTTGGTGTTATCTATAGCACAAGACTGCTAATCGAATCCCACAGGAACAGCATTTGAACCAGCAAAGTGGTGGGCATTGAATTTAACGTGTCTGGAGAATTGCATTTTCAAGAAACAACATGAGCAGAATAAGGCACCAGAACACATATGAGGAGCATCGTACCGTCTTCACATAACAAAAACATTCATGCTTTAATATGATAAGTCAAAAACAACGTGTAGGGCTAGGATACCTCTGAAGCTCAGTAAAACTCTGCATGTTTGAATCAATAATGGTGTTTTTTGAAGAACCTGTACTGCCATAGTGTTAAGTTTAATTTCTGCACTGACTGTTTTTCCAGTGTAGGCCTAAAAACCAGTCAGTGCAGCTTTGTGTTAACCAACTAATAAATAAAACCACACGTAAAGGTGTATACACATACATGTACATAAGTTTCTTTGTGTGTACATGTATGTGTGAAAATGTGTGTCTGTTTGTATGGGTTTAAATACAAACACAGGTGTTTATGTGTATGTGTATACTTATGATACATTATAAGCACACCAGCAATGCATTTATAAGGCTTTATAAAGGTGCTCATAATGTATTATAAGAGGTGGATTGACATTAAGTTGTTACCAAACAGACTATTAACACACATTTCTACAAAATAAATTCACATCAATGTATATTTATAGAGTTTGCATGTTGGATTATGATGTGTCCTTTGTCTTTCTTTACAAGTAGTTGAATAAATGTGTGGAAAAAAAAGATTCACTCCCATTTCTAAGACCACAAAGGTATATTGTTGAATGGTAAGAAGACATACAATTAGGAAAACACAAGGAAAGTACAGATGAAATACTAATGACTGACACCTTTAATCCCCCCCCCCAAAAAAAAAAAAAAAAAAAAAAAAATTCTAATGCTTGCATAAAATCTGACTTCTATTCTCAACACAAACCTGCCTAACAAATAAATATATTGAAATTAAATAAGAAAACTCTTAATTATTTATTCTGTGATTAATCTACCCTGGCTTTTAAGCCGTCCTGAGTTGGGAAATGGATCTGTCGACACCCACTGAGAGGACGATAACGTAGCCTTTCACCTATAACCCCACCCCTTCTGTCTCTCTCAGGGTGCTGTCTGGGGTGATCCAGGGGGCAGGGGGTGAATGCGAGGCCAGCTGGACTCTGAGAGGGTGATCATGAGGTCAGTAGACCTTTTAAACACTGGTGTGTGTGTGTGTGACTATGCATGTGTATGTATATTTGTGTGTGGGTCTAAAGGTAGTGCAGTGATATTCGGGGTGAGAGTCAGGTCAGGTTGCCTATGTACACTGAGGCTGAGGTGTCCTGTCGGGGTCAAGCTTTGGTCACTCTTGCTCACTTTGAGGAACTTCTTGGGTGGATGTGTGTCACCGCTTTGTGTAAACACGCACTCAGACAACAGTTTCCTCTTCATACGTGTGTGTGTGTGTGTGTATCGGTTTGCAGTGATTGACTGACAGCCGCGTTATTAGCTTGTGCAGACTGAGCTAAATGTCATCCTCTCTAGTTTCTTTGCTCTTCATCTGCGCACAGGAAGTGAAAACACAAGCACACACACACACACACATGACTTTCCCCACATCCAAGCATGTTCTCTGCTCCGCAAAAGTACGACAACACACTGGAGGCCATGTTACCATTGTTGATGCTTTTGTTGTTATTGTTCCTGCCCGTGTTGATTAAATTAGGAAATCCTTTAAGTCGGCAGAAAAGAGGGGAGCGTTGTTTTATTATTAAAGAGGAAAGAGACACCCCGGCAAACATCGCAGCGGTTAATGAGAAGTACAGCGGAGTGCTTCAGGACTTGGAGATTTCAATAACATGGCAGAGCCCCCATTTCACCCACCCACCCCCCTGTGAGGAGGATAATACAACAGCCCCCCTCCGTCTGCTTGCTCTTTCCTTGTTTTCTTTTGCTGGCAGAGCAGACTGTAGGTGCTGTCTGAGAGACAAATGTAGTTCAACAGCCTTTAGGTTTGCTGGTTGTTTTCTCTGCTTTTTTATTCCAGGTTACAGAAGATCAGGGTGTGAGCGATCCTGAATTTAGAAAAGATGCTTTTGGATAGCTAAATGAAATAGTATTGTTGTGCCAATCTTTAGACACCTTGACTGTGACAAAGGTAAACCTCAAATATACGGATAAAAAGCATCTGCTGGTGCTGCCAGAATTTCTTTTTTAGCCAAGTGAGGGTAGTTGTAACCAACAGAATTCATTTTTTGCCAACTGTAAAACAAATTTCCTTCGCTTATAAAAACTCCTAAAAATGCTAAATCTGTTTTGCCAATAAAAATGAAAATTTCTGACTTAAATTATTTTTAAAAAGCTATTCAAAAAATGAGAAATTTCCTCATGTCCACTAATTTGAATGTTTAACCACAAAATCAATTAAATCAAAAATTTGTCTCTTAAAATTTCTACACTTTAAGAGTTAACCTATTCATTTAAAACAAAACACCTCTAAGTACTTACATTAGTCTGTTGTACAAGTTCACACTAAAAATGAGCAAGCTAGAAGTTCAGCTCACACAAGTCAGAATGATCAAACTAGTTCTTGGTCATCGTTTTATTTATTTATTTATTTTAGGTTGATTTAAGTTCACGATCATGTACATTTTTTTTTTCATCTTCATTTAAATTTTCTGTCTGTATAGAGCCTCCAAAGCTCCACAAACTTCAATCATTGACATTTTCCAAATCAAATACATAATTAATTTCTACTTCTAATCATAGATAGTTTAAAAGTCAAGAAAATCCAGTTGACCTATTAATTGTGAAAAAATTGCAGTTTTGAAAACTTTGAAACACACATACAACTTAAATTTGTAGGTTTACTTTCTGGTTAAAGACTCAGACTTTAATCCAGATACATATTTGAGCAATCTGCCTTGTAATTGTGATGTTTTTGAGGTGGTTTCCAAAAATATGGGCTAAGGGTAAAGAAGCATAAAACGTGAATTATCCTCCATCCTCAGAAACCTGAACCTTTGAAACCAAACTTTTTTTTTCTAGCCGATTGGGATCTGTCTTAATGTGTCAGTAAAACTACATCAAATGTCCAAAAGTGCTGGCTTCATCAATACCACAAACTACATCAGAGCTGCTGGGAACCATGGGTACTGCAGATCCAGCTCAACAGCAAAAACATACTGTGCTAACTCTTGGCAGCTCTTCATACTTGGCAGATCCTCCCTGTATGTGAGAGGTCGCTTAGTGTCTCCAGAATGAACCACACGTGTTCATGTCCATGAAGACTGACATTAGGTTTGTCACAATAACAGATTATCACCTCATGATGATTATGGACAAAAGTATTCATGATATTAACATTGTCTATAACATTATATCTACACAGACCTTATCAAAGAACACCACCATGTCTGCTTTTCTTTTCTTGCACACAAACTCAGACAGAGTTAATCGACAGTATCTCTGTTTTATTGCTGGTGGCCTCCACGGTAGAGAACCCTTTCTTCCCTTTATTATGAAACTATAACTACACAGTATTACTGTTTCCTTGGTGTTAGCACAATATCACTGTTTCATATTTCTGAATAGACTATTGTCAACACATCAACTCTCAGCTTTGGCATTGTCACCATGTGATAGACACATTTCTCTGTTTCCGCTGCAACCTCCCATTAACAGATCTGATTAGTGCCAGCAACAAAATATTTTGAAAAATACAATCTCAACAAAAATAGGCAAAATTTATTGAGCTTTCCACCGTCACACAGATTGCGGTGTAGGTGGGTGCCGTTGTCTTGGCTAGGTCACATATAGAGTGTGTATTATGTGCATGTATGGAAGCATTTTGGTGTGTATTTGCTCTTTTGTGTGTGTGCCTGCATCTGTTGTTTGGAGGGTCGTGTCACACTGTGGCTCCATCAGACATACTGGAATTGCATTCCCTCCTACATGACTGCTGTTTCCCTATACAGCCATGCGTGTGTGTGTGTGAGACAGAAAGACAGCACATAATGTTTACATGCACACACAGTGAGTCTTTGACCAGGAAGGCCAGTAAACAGACAGCAATCTTAAAAACATGCTGTTGATCCTTGGCGGTTTTTAATCAGAGGAAGTCTGCAAAGGAAACTGAACATTTATCATTATAGCTGTCTGTCGTTGGTGACGTTTTACTGTCACCCATGCTGTCTTTGATTGCAACTTGTACCTCTGCTGAATGTTGACTGAATTTGCATAACTGAACACATTAATTTGCACTTCTAAATGATTAGCATTACATAAAGAATCGCTCGCAGATGACAAGGCAGCCATGTTAAAGATCTGGAAGTCATGTTTTTTAACTTGGATCATCTGACTTTGTTTATCTGCTGTGCTACCACAGTTAATTTGAAAACATCATAACACAAATATTATAGGTCCTAAAGGTAGGGAAAAGTAAAAGGATGACTTATTAAACATTTTATTTTACAAGTAAAGAGCGTTTTTTCTTTTCTTATGTATTTTGGCAAGAGTTAGGCAGGGTAAACACTACAAAATAATCAGGCAGATTTTGGGCACAGTTCTCCGTTCTGATAAAAGTTAGCCAAGACCAATTGTTTAACAGTTTCAGGGATTTTCTTTCCAGATTTCCCTGTAGTGAGAGGTATGTCAAGAATGATCTTGCACCTTAAGTCTGCTCAGGAGAAGATTGTCGCCACACTAATATGAAGCAGTTTAAATTAAAAAGCTCAACATCCACTGTTAAAAATCTGCAAGGACAGTAGGACAGTAAAGTACAAACTCTAAATTGTCACATGAATGTAATGATAGCCAGTCAGCAAGCACGCTGAACAAAGAAGAAACAAAGGTAGCCACGGCAACAACAGCAAACTTGAAGCAAAGGCTGTCAAAGTCTCAATCCAATGTCTTCTGCGGATATAAACGATTTCTGCCAACTTTGCAGAGTCAACTGCAGAACTAACGGCGTTCTGAATGAACGGGGCTTTGAAAAGTCCCGCAGCATGTGTTAGACGTCACCATCTACACATGGACCAATCAGGGGCTGCCTTTCCCTGTTGTCCGGGTCTCTGATTAGCCCGGTTATTTTCTGATTGGGAACACACGCTCTCTATGGGCCGAAGTCCAGACTGTGGTGGGAAGGAACATCAAGTGATTCATGCAACAGGATGGCCCAGCCAGGCTAGATATTTTGGAAAACTCTGTTGGCATGTTTAAATGTAAACAGAGAAAAAACTGAGATTTGGGAAGCTGACAGCAGATTGTGCGCAGGAAAGAAGGAAGGGATGTTGTTGTTGCTGCTATGCGGGATTCTGATTGGCGAACATGGGTTTGAGCTTCTCGCTACACTGCCACCCACAAGTTTGATATGCTCTTGATGGCATATATACACGGGTTACTATAAAACTTTTCTGAAAATGTAGTGATGTGCATGCAGTTTTTTTTTTTTGTAAACAGAGAGGGTTAAATGTCCATTTATGAAAATAGACGGGCACGTGAAAACATAGTCTTTATTACAATATTATTATGATATTTATGAGAAACTTTTACTACCTCTTCTTTATCTGTCCTCAGTTTAATGTCATGTGGTAACCAGCACTATGGACCACTACTATGGTCTCAGGGTATTACAGTAGTCCAGTCCTGGAGGCCCCCTGTCCTGCATGTTTTGGATGTTTCCCTGCTCCAACACACCTGATTCAAATGATTAGCTCGTTATCAAGCTCTGTAATGGCTTATTAACGAGCTAATCATTTGAATCAGGTGTGTTGCAGCAGGGAAACATCCAAAACATGCAGGACAATGGGCCTCGAGGACTGGACTTGAGAACCACTGCTGTATGCTAACGTCTGCTAAGATTTGTGACTCTACTAGTGTGTGCCTTTCTTAAAGTGAGATAATAGTCGCCGCCCTCTTATCAGTGAAATATAGCCATCATTACTTTATTTGAGCACAAAACTAGAAAAAAAGGCCCAGCATTCTTGTTTTTGAACTGCTCACTGTGTGTATTGATTTGATCTAAAAGGTTTAATAGCTTTAGAGGTGCTGTTGGGTTGATTTTGTTGAATTTGTTTTCAGCAAGTTGTTAATTTTTCTCTGTCTGTTCTCTTTGTAGTCTAACTTGAGCTAACAAGCTGCTTGCTCCAATACATATTGAAAAGGCATGTAATATTGTGCGCCTATAACTCTAAAAATGAACAAGACTGGTTACTTCAAAGTATAAAACCTGTACAATGCTCACAAAGGCTAAACTTAACCAAACACATGATGGCTCTGACTGAAGAAGCTAGGCCTAAACAAAGAAGTAAGAACTACAGTAGAGGAGGCAGGGCCATGACTTCAACTCTCAAACAAAGGGGTTAATGTTTCCCTTTTTACTTTCTCCTAACACTCTGTTTCCTCATACCGCTGCAGGTTATCAGTGACACACAGTGCCAAAGGTCAGACAGGAGTCCTCTCTGTGACCCCTGACCCTGCCATGACCTGGTGACCTCAGATCCATCAGAGTTGGGGTTGGTATGAGTTCACAGGGGTCATCTACTGTTCAAAGACAGTCGGGCTCTGTAGCAGCCATGTACGCGCTCAGATCATTATTCCTAGAGGGTCTGTCCTGCGACCTGAGCACTCTCACCCATATCCCATAATACTTTGTTATTGAGTATTTACACTGAGACAAACACTTTGATTTTCTCCATGTCTTCATTCTTTATGATTTTGCAGCAGAATTGAAAGTGAAGTGTTGACTTCTTGTGATGAATTCTCCCTTTCTGCACCGCTGCTTTGGTGTTTTTGAGTTTTTTAGTTATGCATACAGTGAACATTATGATCCATCATTTACAAAAAGTAGATAAATATCACACATGTCGACGGTGATACAAATATTTTGCACTTCCCTGGTGTTTCAGGTTGACAAATCCAGAGAGGCCACCCCTTGACCTTTTGACCGGGCTGAGCCTTATGGGTAATGATGATACTGATGGCCTGACAGCCAACTTACCCAGTGGCCATCTGGAGCAGCTGTCATGGTGGCTGATTGAGAAGGAGACCCACCACTGGCCATGCATTGATTTTTTTTTTTTTACGAGGAACCATCTCTCTTCACAGGCACCCTGTGGATGGATCCTTTAGCATCATGTTCACCCTGAACTCTGACCTGAGGGAGAGTGGAGCTGGAGGTCACTGTCAATGCCCCTCTACCATTTTACTCCCCAGTATGAGTTGCATCTTACTGACAGACATCCACACCCAGACACTTGCTAATAATTCATCTAAATACATACAATGGACATTATGAATGACAGTGAGGGTAAAGAGAACAATTAACTGTACTAGAGTAGTTTCATTTTTATTTTCTAATCCTTGATTGTGGCTGTAGGTAAGAGTACAACCAAACACTCTTCTTTAGTACAGAGGCACAAGAATAAATGCACAGTAAAGTCTAGTTCTTATACTGAACTACAGTTTCAATGCTGATTTCCAAAATGAAACTCTCATTTAAACATTGTCACAAAGAGTACATTTAATTTCTCCCAAGTCTGTTTTTGTATATACTGCAAAATACTTCAAACTGTACCTTTAAATCTCCTGTGAAGAGTTTTTTTTTTTAACTGATTATGAAACAAAGTTATAAACAGTGATGCCTCTTTCTGACCCACAAAATCAAACTACACTATGAGGTTTAAAAGTGATGATTGCTTTATTGTAGTTTTTAATCCCTGTAACTATAGTGAGGAATCAGATGAGATGACAGCACAACAAAGTGTAAGTGAGCCTATGAAAGAGTTACCAGTCACCATCAGCATTTTTGACCAAATTTATTGAACTTTCAAGCTCTCGAAATATTTTTTTCCCAAAGTATACATTATTAATAAGAATAGGAAAAGAAAGTACAAAGCTTCAGTTTTCATGCACAAAAACCCATTTCATTCGAACTTGTCCCATTTTTTATTACTATTCATAAATGGCTTTTTTTTCTTCAAATTTCAACATTTCAGGCAAAAAGCTAAGAAAATAATGTGTTTCTAAGAAATAAGAATTGTTCTTATTTCAAAGCAGAAAATTGATAGGATTCTTACATTTTTAACCTATTTGATGTGATAATATTGGTTGCATGATTTTAAATATTGTTTGTGTGAATCCATGGTTTATATCATAGTTTTTAGAGCACCTAAGTCTGCAGACTTCACAGGAGGTCCCTATGTTAGACCCTCCAGGAATCTGCAGAGAAAAAGTTTTGATTCCGCGGAGAACAATCCTGATTCCGCCGAAATCCGCGGCTTGTTGTTATGACTTTGATGTAGTTCATAAAACTGTGATCTTGGACATATGGGACGTTACTCAGGTGTCATAAACACTGACAGCCACCCGGCTGTTTTCAAGATGGCTGTGGCGGTAGTCATGGTTACAACAACAAAACACGTTAGTCTACTTACTGCGCCGTGCGTCCCGTCCGTTGTCTGTATGGTCCTGAACGTTAGCATTTAGCATCGCCGTAGCTACTTGGCTTTGGGCTGCAAGGCTGCGCAGGTTTATATGTCAGCCAATCGGTGGAGATTACCTGGATCAACCCTCGTCTGAGAGCCTTCCATTGGCAGAATGAATCGACTACAGTCAAACTGAATTGATTTATCCAATCGCTGTATAGATGGGCAGGTACGGACAGTGAGCTTTGGGCTATGGTTGGCCAGACTGAAATGTCTGTCAGCTTGATTGGCATTTTTGTGGTTCAATCAGAAGGAAATGTTTGTTGTGTTAGCTTGTGGGGAAGTTTATAAAAAAAAAAAGAGTGACAACAAAGTTTACCGGCGAATTTCGCCGCGGAAAATGACGAGAATGGATTACTTTTTTCTGTTCCTGTGGAAACTTTACCTGCTTACCATTGTGAAACTGGAGGGGTATACATCGTAATGAGGTAAGACTGGTCTCATTTTAAAGAGGAGGATGTTCTGATGTGTTTTGATATATGATAGTTTGGTGGAGTTAGGTGACGGCTCCTTCAGCTTCCTCTTTTCCGGAGTCGCTCATGTCCGCAGAGCGTTTAAAACGTGTAAAAGTGTTTAAAATCTTTAAAAATATATTAATATTGGTCAGTGAAATATTGAACACAACATTTAGACATGCTTTAACACCCCTGTAGCAAAATCAGAGAAAAATCAGTTGTTTTATCTCGTCCTTGTGAAGTTAGAGGCTGGAGATGACCGGTAGAGGCTCATGCCTCGGTCTTGCCCGCACATGTGCGTGCACCGGGCCCAAGTGGTTAAAACAATTACAACACAACAGCATAGCTTTTCTGTTTCCTCAGCAGCCAAGGTTTTAGTGGCGATTGTGTTTGTGATCGTTTTCTGTCGTTTTAAAATGAGGTCCTCTGGAGTTGTACTTTTTCTCTTCAATTGAAAGCTAACATCTAGCGGTCAGGATGAAAACTACTACATGTAAAATATCATATTCTGCACCCCGCCTTTATTCAGCAGAATACTTTAATTTTCACGGGGGACTTTGAAATCTGCGATAATTTCCGCAATCACAGAATCGCGGATTCCTGGAGGGTCTAATAATATGTGTGTCAGATCTGGATGCAACTGTGCTGATGCAACTTGTTCACTTCCTCTGAACAGGTCAGAGAACAAATGTAAGCAGGTCTTCTTGTTTCTTCTGTTCCAGTTAAAGAATTTAAATCCTACAATACTCGTCCAGCTCCATGCTACATCTCATTTGATCAGAGCCCTCTGCTATGCTTCATCCGACAATCATATAAGTATTCAAAGACTACAGTGTATTCCCCATGTAAACACATGGTCTAAGTCAGATTTTTTGCTGAATCAGCAGTATTTCCCCTCTCTTGTCTCCACCTGCACCTGTCCCCTTCTGTAGCAAAGCTTCTTTACTTGTAATGGAGGCAGGAGTGCTTTATTGCTCCACAGTGTACATCACAGCACTACTCCTTATACAATAATAAAAACACAGTCTGACAGAAAATCTCATCAACGGCGGGGTAAGAGAGAACTGATCAAAGTCAGCCTGATAACTTTTTTTGTCAGAAAACATGACATGGACAGGGAAAAATCTGTCAAGTTTTATGAGGTTTAGGTTTGTCCACAGGGGGCGCCAAATACAGCACAAACAGAAAGTTCCTCACAGGAGCTTTATGAAAGGGTTTGCCATCTGCCGCACATATCAAATAATAATTTGATGACAAAATCAGTGATATTTTACATCCATGTTTGATAGTCCAGTCTGTACAGTTTCTATCAGCAGATTGACATTGCTGTCTTGTGTGAAAATAAGGACCAACGTGAAATCCAGGCTGGGAAGTTAAGGGCCAGACTGCAGCTATTAGACTTCATAACATTGATTTAACATTTGGGATCTGTTGAAGATAGTTATTTTTAGCCATTTAATTACAAAATTACAAAACAAATAAAATAGAAGATATTAAGTCATACATTAAAAGACTGATAACAGAAACATACAAAAGCACCAGTCTGGCCCCAGGTTGAAGTTCTCTACAGAAAGCATCTGTTATGTAAGCAGGGTGATATCGATCTGCTGTTTTGATTGAATTTTGAATGTATAGAGGAGCACAGCAGGTTGTAAACATGTCCAGCTCTCCCTTCAATACCCACCCCCATCATTCTACCTCAGATCCCCCCTCCCTACTTAAACAGACACCTACACATACCACCACTGCCGTACAGTGATCCGCATAATCCGACAGGCTCGGGGAGTGACTGATAGCTATTGTTGTGTTGGGAAGCTTTTGTCACCTGACAAAGAGCTGCAGCTTTGGCCCTCATCCCTCTGCATCATCCTCTACCTCATCCTCTCTCTCACGGGGATATGGGGGGGCCTCAGCGCCCCATCACAATGACTGATGGAGTCTCAGGGATGGATGAGGAAGAAGAGGGTGGGGGTGACTGTATACTCAAAGGCTATCTTCATCGCAGAGAGAACAGAGGATTGGTATAGAAATGGTAAAATTACTTAAAGTACAGTTTGTCAGCCTTCAAAGGAGGGAAACAAAACCTTTTAGGCTCCATTGAGAATTACCAGCTGTCTTGATTAACACGTTGAAAAAGGTATCGACATCATCAGTGGAAACTCTAACCAGCCACCGGCTCATTTCTGCTGCTCTGACACTTTTATTTTTGCTCATTTCGCTTGTTTATTGTCATGATAATGAAGTCGCAGTGTTGGTGTCATCAGGAGAAATCTAGCATTTTGGCCTGGTTCCACCGCTAATGTATGCAAGAGCTACTTTTCCACTCTCATCACTGTCAGCTCGCCACTCGCCACCAAAATGGCTCCTAATTGAGCGAACTGGAAAACAGTAAGCCAAGAATTGAGATGTTAATATAGAAGATTCAGTATACACGCTGTGGAGTTTTAAATGTAGCTGTGAAATATGCTCCTCAATATGTGTCTGTGATCACCAAATCATCGCATGTGATAAAATGTTTTTTTGTGTGTGTGTGTGTTTTATGACAGTGAGGATTTCAATGTAATGAGTGGGAGTGACTGAGCACTACTGACAAGCTTAAAGCATCATAAATGTTTAGACAATACAAACTGGCAGACTGAATGCTTCAGATTTAGCTTTTTTTTCTTCAGCAAAGACACATTTTTCCTCTTTTCCTTTTATTCCCTTTTGCTCCTTTTCTTGTATTCATGCCATTTATCTCAATGGCCTCTCGCGGCACTGTGGGAATAGCAGCAGCACTTGCGCCATGTGTGAGACAAAGAGAAAGGTCTGTTTCAACACCATCAATCCCACAATCCCACACAGTGATGAGCGAGAGATAGTCACCATCTGTGGATGTGTTTCTCCTCACTTTGCCCAAAAGTAAAACTGTACCCAGTGAAAGTTAAGAGTGTGAACGCCTCAGTGTGCTGTTTGTCTAGGTGTTTTGGAGATACCTCCCACTACATTCTACATCGCCCTGTTTTTAAATAGCCTGACATTTGCAGTAGCCATCCACATGCGACATTGTGTTTAGTGATTTTGGTGTTAAAAGACATTTTCTTCCTCCTCATGTCTGTGTCACTCTGCCTCCGCTGCTGCTGTCTGTTTTGCCCTCTTTCCCTCTTTTTCTCTCTTCTCTCGTTCTCTGTCCCTGGCTGCAGCGCAGCAGCCATTAGCTTTACAAATCCAGCCTTTGATCTCTGATTTGGGCGGGTGCCTGGGAGAGGAGGGGTACCGGGCTGCATGTGTGTGTGCGCGTGTGTGTGTCTGTGTGTGCGACGGGCTGTCTATGTAGGCCATTTGAGGGCTAGCTGGCTCTGCAGAGGAGGAGGGTTCACGACCGGTCCACTTCTGCCGAGGTATTACAGAGGGAGTCGATTTCCAGGGAAGAGGCCGTGATGATAATGCCGCTTCATTTGCATTTGTACTGAGCGAATAAGCTGCCTAATGGTTTAAATATAACTCACTTAGCGCTCACTCCAAACTCCAGTTCTCTTCCCTGTACCACTGTTCCTTCAACACCCCCATCCCACATCCTGCTTTTCCTCCCCCCTGTCACTTATCTCACCCTTTAGAGGCTTTCACCCTGTCTTATCCTCGCCTCATCTCTCCTCAGAATAACTCCTCTACACGGACATGTGCCCAGATATTACATTATTGAACAGAAATCACTTTTAGCTCTTTGGCAACGGTCAGGGACTCCAAATAGGTACTAGAGCAGTGTGATTATACATACTAAGTGTTTCAGTCATGGCTCATTATTTGGATTTTTCAGTGCTGACACCAGTACCTGTGTTGTTGGGTCGAAACTGATGACTTCTGGCATGGTCGCTCTGATATTGAGAACTTCAAGGTGTAAACTTACGTATGTTCCCAATGAGGGTCTGTTGTTTTGAGTTTTTAAATGAGTAGTTTCACTTAAATGTCATTTAAAGTAATGTTGGTCCTTCTATTGTTTACATTTTTCCTCAGTAAATCAAAATCAATTAAACAAATTCAAAAAATCTGAAACAAAAGGTCCTTTGTTGATAAGAAGATACCAGAAACCTGGCCCTCCACTCCTCCATCCATCCATCTGTCCATCCAGCAAGTCTTTTCCTCCTCCTCTCCTCAGATGTAATGAATGGCTTCCCTCACTGCGGCGAATTCACCTGTTTCTGCTTCAGCCTTCCTTGGCCGCATTAAGTGGGGATTTATGGAGGCGGCTTCCCATTGAACAAAACCATTTCTCTTCCAGTTTGGTTTAACAGCACTCTTTATTCCCTGCAGATTTAAGGATAGGAGGCATGGGGTGGGTGGGTGTACGTGTGTGGGCAGGAGGGGGGCAACACCATTAAGGGCTACGGCCCTCCCAATTTCTCCTGCACTTAAGCTGGGAAGGCAAACAGCCCTGAGCGGTACGTTCCTAAAGAGACCTCTGTGAATAGATGGATGCCTGATGGATCAAGTGCAGTGCTAACACATGCAGGAGGACTGTCCCATTTCTGGCTCCTTCACATGAGGAGCTGCTGGATTTCAAATGGGACTTAAGTCGGAGTAGTTTTATTCCCCAGCTAAGAATAGAGATGCACAAATGAAATTAGAGGCAGGTTTAATACGCAGGGGATGAACTGAAGTACCAGAAAACCATCGAGACATTTGTCCCTGAGAGCGAATCTGTAACTGAGCCCTTTATTGAAACTGAGCTGACATGTTAGGGACCCTCCTAAAATCAAACCCCATAAAGCTGGCTGCGATATTTCATAATTATTAAGTGGCAGAGTATTTGGTGAATCTTTTAACTGCCGATGACTGTGTCATATGTAGCTGCATTAGCGTCTCATTACTTTAGCGATAGGGAGAAGATTCCTTAATGCCTCTCGACAGGCCATGATGTAATTACACAGTGTTTGTTGCAAGTCAACATGATAATTTGTGTTTCCAAGGGATCTGTCATACACCCGGGACGCCGGGCGCATAAATGATTCAACCCCTCATAAATGTCCTGATTGAAAACAAGCTGTTGCCCAAACTAACTTAAGTATCGTGTCATCGCGGCACCTCGTGGCTTTAAAATACACAGCCAAAAACAAAGAGGAAAAACAGGAAAAAAAAAAACCTCCTTTGGAAAATTCATCACAGTGTTTGGCGCTGTAAGGCACAATTATGCACGAAACCATAAGAAAAGCTTACCTTTCACTTCTCTTTCTGCCTTTGTGTGTGTGTGTGTGTGTGAGAGAGAGAGAGAGATCAAGATAGGATGAGCATTAGGTGTAGAGAGAGAGCGAGAGTGTTTAGAGTAAGTGTGAAACTACTCTGCAATCCCCCAGAGGCTGCCATTGTCGACTTTACCCATTCCCACCCTCTGAGCTCGACCTAACAAGACTACACAACATCTGCACGGGGGCTACAGAGTTTACATACACGGTAGAGGGTGTGTGTTTTTTTGCGAGGCGGGTGTGTGTTTGTGTGTTTGGGGGCGTAGATTTTTGTTTTGGACTATCTGTTTTGAAATCTGCACGGTGGGCAGGGTATATTAAAGGCAGAGCGAGGTGTTCCTGCGTAGCCGCCGGCTCCGCTGCACCTCTCCAGCATTCTGACTGTGACCCCAGCCTTCGGGTGTGTGTGTGTTTTGGATCTCTTTGTACACACTCTCTAAGATGTTCTCGCTCTTCTCCTCTTTTCTCCTCTTTTTTTCCCTCCTCCTCTCTCTCCTCCCTCCCTCCTCTGTGTGTTCCTTGCAGAACAGAGCCCCAGATACTGAAGATATTGCCCCTGGTTTATTTGGCCTGTCTCTCTTTTTCTCTCTTTCTCTTGCCATATATATATCTCCCGATTCTCCTCTCATCTCCTTTCTTTTTCCCTTTTATTTATCTTCTGCAAGTCCTCTCACTTTGCGATCAATACAGTTTCCGCTTGAAGCCTCGCAGCCAATCTGAGAGGAGCTGCGGGAGTTTTTGAAGTAGGGATGCTAAACATGTTAAACAGCAAAGATGTTTTGAAAATTTGGGATCATCGGAGAGATGTTAAATGTCTGAATTTGTTTTTCCCAGTTCCCAGCTGCATACTGTACGTGCATCAGACGTTATAGCTTTTCATCAGCTATCTTTGATCTTGCTGTAGCTTTTTATATGATATTTCTGATTCTTGCATTTGAGTGTATTAGCAAATCACTGAATTAGGGATGTAGCAGTTATCGTAACAAAATGAACGTGTGATATGCATGTTTATATATTTATGAATTTACTTTGAAAATCACTTTGCTTCATTTTAAACCAACATTGCTGGATCTTAAAACCGTTCTTAGCTTGTGTGTGATTCCTTCATCGACTTGCTGGTTAAATTTTTAAAAAGAAAAAGTGAAGTTCATAGATAGTCTCAGAAGTGGATTTATTTGTAATAATTTCTCACCAGGGTCTTTGGTTTTTCTTTGACAGTACAAGTACATGCTTTTCCTGTAAATCCTTTAACTGGATGCTTAAAACATGTAAGGTGAATACCCCTAAGTGTCATATTTATAGCCACGGTTAGGTTCACAGTCAAAATGATGGAATCAAATATTGACAGGGTTTGAATGTATGAAAAATAAAACACAAGTAGGTCTGAGCAGCTTTGTGGTTGACATCATTTTCATCAAATTCATGATTTTTATACTTGAATTATATTGATGAAACATCTACAATGTCTGGGGTTTGAGGGCCAACATTTTTTGCAAATGGTAGTATCCGCTATTGCTCTTTCCAGGGCATCTTTTTAATGGCTCCTACAGTCACCAGGCTAAAGTTGTCCTGCAGCTCTTCCACTTCTTCACTGATCAGTTTCCACTCCCCACAGCTGCTACTGTTGTTAACAAAGTTGATAACAGATGTTCTGCCTCTTCTTGATTTTACTGACTGGTCATGAAGACAATGATGAGCGGAGTAGGGATCCAAAAATAAGATCCAGCTTGCTGATGTCTGTCTGTCTGTAAGCTAGCTGGATGGCCGGTAGATCGCTCAAGTCAAGCGCAAAGGATTTGCTAAAAACACTGTGGGGTTCAGTAACGTTATGGTCCTGTATCAATTCATTTAAGTCTTTCTTCTGATGAATTGTAAAGACAAAAGGTCATAGTTTCAAATCCTCGACATTTTTGATCTTTACCACATACTTGTTGACTCGCTGATGTTGGCATGCTAACACACAAAAATAAGATACTGGACATGGTTTATGCTAGACCTTATCCTTCATACTATCACCACTAAATATAGTAATGGGGACATATCAGAATGCAGAGTTGGCTGAAGGTGTGGCTGGGGGCTGTCTGTCATTTAATATGATAAATGTTTTTAGTTGGAAATGTGTTATTTCATTAAATACATAACAGAGCACTTTTCCTCCTGGCTTGGTTGGTCCTCCTTGACTTCCAATCTGGAGCACCTTGAAAACAAGGATGAAGAACCGCTTTTTTGTTATCCTCAACTAACCCCACTCAGTTTGTACTCACTCCTCTTTGTTCCTGATTCTCTGCACCTGCTCCTCTCGCTCATACTGTCGGATGGACGGGCGGAAGGTTGCCACATCCCCGATGACTGTCATCATCATCGTCTGTCTGTCCGACCAGTGTTGATGAGCCAGAAAGGCAGAGAGCCAGAAAGGCAGACAGCAGGGCTATTGAGACAAACACAAACTGCCCCCTGCCCCTGTTTGCATCCAACTGTCAAGTCAGTTTAATGCAAACTTTTGAAATGTCACAAAATAATAGAATTTTAATAGGTGTGTTGCCGTCACCTGAGTTTGGGAGGGGATACAATGGCTTCATGAATGAATAACAAAGCAACCACCAGTCCTTTGATATTTAATGAGTGTTGGGAATGTTTTTATCACCCAAAAGGAAAGTATACTCTTATGTTTCATGTTTCATTCAAAGTCAGTAAGATTAAATTGATGATTCAATGTTTGATCGTGGTACAGATTTATAACACTGATTTGTGTTTTTGAAGATTGGTCAACACAACCTTTTTTTACCCACATTTCAGTGAACAGGAAAAAAACAAAAACAAAAAAAAAACATTTGCCCGCACTTTTGTTGAAAATTGTTGTAATTTGGTATCTTCTGTGTCATAAGCACCAACCCCAACCCAAGAAAGTATAAAATATTAAAACTAACAGTTTTAGATGGTTAGCCAAAATAGAGCCAGAACAACTCATTAAATGTTGAAATTAAAGTAACCAGCTGAGAACAAATGCTGAATTGCCTTGATCTTTAAAATCTCATGGTACTCCGATTTAAACTAACATGTCTCTGTAGTGGAGATCACTGCACAGGCTCAAAATCACTTCCAAAAGCCATGGTTTGCTCCCCATTCATTACTGTAACTACTAATGCAAGTTTAAACTGTTCCATTTAGGGAGCATACCGCAGATAAACATGATCCAGAACTTCTAGAGACCAGAGCTGAGACATTGTGGAAAACCGTATTGGGGTCCAGTGAATCAAAATTTGACACTCTTTTTGGAAATCGTGGACAGGTTGTTCTCAGCTCTGATTCAAAGGAGGACCTCCTGGCTTGATATCAGCTAACACTTTAATAACCAGCATCTGTGGTGGTCATGGTATGTGCTTGCACATGTTAAATGGCACTATCAATGCTGCACAAAATATACAGGTTTTGGAGTTGCCATTCTGATAATGAATCATTCAGGGAAGACCTTGCATATTTAAGCAGGACAATCCCAGTTTGCACAGTTTTGCATGTAAGACAACAACTTGGCTCTATAGCAGAAGAGTCTGGGTGTTCTACAATCCCACAAAAGAGAGCCTAAATGGTTGAGTAGCTGAAATCAAGCTGGAATAGGACAACATTTCACTTTTAAAACTGTGAAGACAGGTCTTTTCAGTTCCCAAATGAGGCAATGCAACATATTAGGTAACATGATCCCGTCCTGACTTATAAGGCGTTGCTAGTGTCAAAATCCACTTTTTTCAGATTTGTTTTACTTTTGCAATTTTATATGTTGTCTTGTACTCTATTGAATTAAATGTAGGGTATATGTGACTTACACCAACATCAGTTAACATCAACATTTTACTCAACTTTTTTTGTGATGGGTGTTGTAGCTGTGTGTCTCATCTTTTATGATGGAGAAAATTTCTTAAATGTCTTTTGATGGGCCACTCTCCAATTATCAGCTAGCTATGTTCATTTTACGACATTTAGTAAAAAGCTGAAAGCTGCAGTGAATCATTTTTTTTCTTGCGAATTTGTAAGGAACACTCAAAAAGAAAGCAAGGATGTGTCTAAAATTAAAAGCCTTCACCCAAACCTGTATCAGAGGATGTTTGTACGTTACCCATGAATGTGTGTGTGTACCACACACTTCCAGATCCAGACTATTTATATGCTCAGTTTTGCTGATGGGCCACATGAGACAAGAGACAGAGGGGTAAACATCAAACTGCGTCTTTGGTGGTCGTCAATATAACACTCCTACAGCTATCATAAAGATTATTCAACATTTTTTTGAGCGTGACACTGTGAGTGATGTAGTGTGGAACAAAGAGGGAAGAGTGAAGGAATGAGGATGGGAGGGAGGGGCAAAGAGGCAGATGAGGCTGGAGAGTGACGGCAGAGAGTGAGGGAGGGGGAGAGAGGGAGATATTCAGGCATCACTGCTTTTCCTCCAGGTGTCTTTGGCCTGCATGATTTCATCTGCGAGGCCATAATAAACTTCCTTAATGAAATAAGTAATTAACATATTATAATTGTGCAGCGGATGATTTTGACAGAGATCATTTTCCATATCTAATGCTATGCTAATTTAATCTGTTCCCCTCCTCTGCCCGACACGACCCTTTCTGTGATTAAGTTTCATGGCATCTCACTTTCGCTTTTCCTCACCTCTCCTTTTTCATACACTTACCCCCTCGCCGCACCTCACCCATTTGCTCCCTATCCCCTTTCTCTCTCTCTTTTTACTTCCTTTCTGTCTCTTCCTCTCTTTCTCCAGTGATGGATTGACTCCTCGGCAGAGGTTCAGGGCCTTGTTGTTGTGGAGTTGCAGGCGGAGGGACGTGCACAGATGGCGGGGGAACTGGGGGCTGAGGGTGGAGGGTGGAGGCCTGGGTCTGTATGTGTGGTCTAATCTCGCTCCTTCCTCTGCCTCTTATGCACTGAAAAAAAAGGAGAGCATAGAGCAGGAAGCGTAGGAGGTGGGAGTAACAGCGATGATTGAAATATAGCCACGGGCTGGCGGTCATGTGGATTCTGTGCCTCGATTGGTCTCAGCTCTGAGTTTGGTCATCTGGGTTTAGAGTTTGAAAGACGGTAACTTGTGTGAGGCAAATGTCAGCCATGTCTTTGAGAATATCACCTTGACGTCTTTGTGTAGTTTTGATTTCACAGTGACCTTTTGACCTTAAAGTGTTACAACATATTATGGCAGCAGACTGGTTTAGCTGCTCCCAGAAACAAAGTTCCTCCGATAAGAGGCATAAACTGTTCTTAAGATGTGAAGGCAGCCACTGTAATGTCACCAGATGGTTTGTGGCCAACACTTCTAATGCCAAGTTTGATGCATTTTGGCCCCTGTCGGCTTAGTTTTTTAGGTCCTGAATAGACCTTACTTGGACAAGAGGATGGATAAAAACTGCTCAATATTTATCTTGATTGGCAGGTAGCCATGGAGACAATATTTTAATCAGAGGTAAAGCCCTATTCAACAGACCTCATTTAGAATATGATCAAGGGTAGAGTCAATATCACTATGAAGAACATGGATGCTAGAAAATGAGACCATACTCTGCTTGGGTCACAAATCAGGGAGAGGTAGAGCCTTTCTGTCATACCAATGTAAGCTATTATCACCATAGACTGTGCAAGACATGGATGCAGTCTCAGAAAGGTCAATAGTTTCTGAAGTGGTGTGTTAAGGCCCAATGATGTTGGTCACCAAAGTGGTAATGCTGACTGAACCTAACTTTTGGTTGATCTGTTGATGAACAGGTGGGGTCAGGGTGGGCCTATGGCCTCTTGGCTGACAACCACAATGTGCCTTTCGCTTAATCAAATAATTTATGACCTTTATGGTGCGTTCCATTTAGCTCGGAAACCAGAAGTTGGAGCTGAGAATGACGTCACACCCAAGTTATCAGCGTTTCAGTTACAAAGTTGGAAAAAAGTAGCCAAAAACAGAAGAAAACACCGGCTGAAACTACCAGGCTATGGTTGGCTGTTGTTAGCATGGCCTGCTTTGTAGTTAGCATACGCATTATACAATAACAATAACAATAACACTAACAATACTAATGTATACGGCTGACTTATTGTGACAACACAGCAAAAAGTGTTAATAAGAGGATTATTACAGGAGCTTCTACTTACTGTTTACATCTTTAGATGTCAACTCGAGGGTTGTGTGGATTGTCCGACTTTCCGAGTCAGAAATCCAACTGAAACGAAAGTTCCGACTCAGAGTTTTGAAATCCCAACTTCCAAGTACAACTGGAATGCACCATAGTTGTTTATTATTATGAAAAATAATAACCCTAGTATCATAAAAATGAAATAAGCCCCGCCAATAGTGTGTTTGAGTACAGATCTGAGCATTTATATTTATATTTATGAAATTTATTGTCTGTTTTTAAGTGACCTGATAAAAAGATTTTTTTCCTCAGAGGACAATAAAGATGAATGAAAATGGTGAACTATAAGTGTTAAATTTTGAACTCATAGACAAAAATAGGTGTCAATAGGGTCTTCTTGGCTTTTGGAATCATCTTCAAGTTGACATTTTGTGGGGAACTACAGTTTTTAGCACTTGACCAACTCCAGAGTTTGTTATTTGACTTTATTCAACAGTATCTGAAACACTGAGTCACTTACAGGATTCTTACAGGTGCTCTCTAAACACTCTTGTCTGTAAATCCCCTGTGGTAAACTGTCTCCTTCTTATCTAATTGTGGTTATATCTTGGCAGGACCGGCATGGCCCATTTTTATACGCTGAAATAAATGGACAGAAGCCAGAGGTTACCATATTACAGAAGAATTGGCAACCATTATCATCAGACAACTGGCTCCCATGCTAAGTGGTTTCCATCATCCAGTGTGGGTTTACCTAAGGGTGACATCTTTTTTAAACACAAGATTCACCAGAAATTCAAGAATGTCATAAAAGTGAATTTTAGGTCTTACCTAATGTCTTTTGCAGCACATCACCTTTACCGAAGTCAAAATCAAATGTTTGGAAATAAAATATTTGCAAACGTGGGTGGAGTTGGATTTCATCTCCGCAGCAGGTGCAGTGAAAAAAGGTTTCTAAACTTTTCTGGAGGATTGCTTAGTTTTAAGTTACAGATACACCAAGAAAGTTTGAATCAACATAAGTTCATGAAACTTGTGCAAACATCTGCAGTAACAAAGTTCAAACTGATAAATGTAACATGGGACAAACAGATGATCAACAGGCTGACTGCAGTACGCATTAACATCTTTCTCTGCAGCCCCTCTGAGAAAGTAGAGAGAAACAGAGAGAAAGGGTTCAAGGGGGTTTAGGGGTATGCGGAAAGAGTGGGAGTCAAGGGACGAATGAAATCAGCCAGCTGTGGTTTGAGCTGTCCCATGTGATGACAGGACCCTCCTCTCTCACTCTGTCTCTTTAACTCTCTCTCTCTCTTCCCCTCTCCCTCCCTCGGTCTCTTCAGTCCCTCTCCCCTGGCTTCTCTAAGCAGAAGGAGGCACCCACTGGGGGCTCTCCATTTTCTGTCACCCATGAAATGATGCGTACAATTCAGCCGCTACCCCTCTCCCTCCGCCTTCTTCCCTTTTCCCCACAAATCCACAGCTACAGCATATAGAGAACACTCTAAACCACTCAATGCCTCTGAACACACAAACTGTACACATAAACTTCAGCTATCTAGTATTCAATGATGTGGACTGGACCACAGAGGGGCTCCCAGGACTGTCAGTTCATGAGGGATGACAAACTCCCAGCAGCTAATATTTTTAGGCTGCTCTGAAAATTTCCCTAATATGAAAAGTGTCTACTGTTGCAGCTGGTACTGATCTTAAAAGCAGGCTCTGTCTTATGCTTACTTTGGTCTGTTAAATGTTGCATTAACATAAAAGAAGAACCAAAGTATAAAGCTGAATAACTCAGATCTTTACAGAAGGCTAAACCTAATGTTTATTTAGGCAGGTGTCTGTTTTAGGTTGAAAATGACTATTAGTTTATCACATTTTAGTCTCTTCTTTGTGGTATAATTTAAGTCAATAAAAAGTCATATTTTAGTCAAAACATTACCACAAAAGTGCACGAAAAAACCTTCAACATCATATACAACTGTTAGCCAGTTAACCAGTTATACTTACTGTGCACTTAAGTCTCTAGTGTTGTGATCGGAACATTAAGGGCCAATCCCAATTCCACCCTTTAGCCCTTGTCTTACCTCTTAACCCTCAGTTTTGTGCATTCAAGTCAGGCGAAAGGGTGTCCCAATTGTCCGTAAGGTTAAGGGCAAGGAGTACACACCCCCTGAAATGGGACCTCACTTAAGGGGTAAGATTTTGATATGATTTTCATAGTAATGACACATGTTTTTTTATCGGCTATTTAATCCTTTGCTACTCCATGTAAATATTAGCGATGTTTTGAATTATTTGCATTTTAAAATTGCTCGATGTGACGAGCTAGCTAACGAAGCTATAGCTATTGATAGCTACACTGATGTCAGACTCAGGTGACAAATTCACTGCAAACGGAAAGGCATGATGACGTAGCAGGAGTCGAGTGGTGTCTCGTTTATTGGGGGCGTGTTTTCTCCCTGAGGGGAAGGGGTAGACAAAAGGGGTAAGATGAAGGCGAAAGGGAAAGAGTGACTTTTGGGATTGGCCCTATGTGGGACACAGTGGCAAGTCAATGACAGTTGAAAGACACACTAGCAGTGGAGCCAAAGTAGCACACTTTTTAATCAATTCATTTTATCATTGATCGGCAAAATATTGACAGGGATAATCATCTTAATAAGTGCCCCAGTGATCCAGAGATCATAATGTGGAAGACTGAAACATTTGCACACTTGGGTTGAGAGACAGTGGACACACATTCAGTTCACTTCATATTGTATGTTTCAGAGTCAGTTCTGATAGGATTCTGTCTTCACCAAACATCCAATCCCATTTTTAGTCATTTAAAAAAGGAAAAGGCCATACATTTCATCATTGTTGTTGTCATTGTGCATTGACTTGTATCTAGTCATTGTCACATTTTCATCAGGATGAAGGTCAAAAAACGTTGACAAAAGTCACCGGTCAGTGACAGTAACACTGCTGTATTCCTGAGAAAAAGTCGTCCTAACACAATACTAAGAACGATTAAATTATAATTATTGTTCCTGGCCTTGTAGAAATACTTTTCCCTGTGCACATATAAATGGTTCTGCTACGAAGGGATGGTGAGTAGAACAAACAAAGGGAAAGGAAGGTAAATAATGCATAAGCAGTATTTTGTAAAGCAATTTCCCCTATTCTAAGTTGAGCACACAAGAACAACTGAGATGTATAAATATTGTAGTACACAGAGGCTTTGTCTGCTTCAATACTCAGCTGGCTGTAGAACTATATGCTTGTGTGTGTGTGTGTAAATGTGTGTGTGCGTTACAAAGAGAGGGAGAGGTCAGGTGGGGCAAACAGAGGATGAGTAATGTGAAAGAGCTCAGATGTGAACGCAGCATGTAACAATGACTGAGTGACAGGACACATGCCACTGGGTAATGAGAGGTTCACACCAGCATGTTACTGCTTTCTTTCTTATATACCAGGAGGCCCCCCTCATACACACACATGCTGTAGATGTAGGTATAACACAGCCACCACGCAACATACCGATGCTTCTACCTCCACCCCCGATCACTCACTGGAGGTTAAAACCTTTCCCAATAACAACTCAGTCACTATTCCCGCAACATGGCAATAACAACAAGGGCGACTATAAACATGCAGCCAAGCCCTGATGATGTAGTAACCCTAAAGGCCTATCAGTGACGACTTATACATACATAAAAAGGTCAAAGATTCTAGTGAGGATATACACCATGTAAATTATATCTTCTTTTGGCTATATCAGGCTGTAACTGTTTGACTGGTACAGCCCACCCTTCGAGACAAGCAGTACAATAGACTGTAAGCATAAAGACGTCTGCAGCAAATTATAAGCCAGTCAACCTTGTAGTGTTTAAATTTGTGATCAGTGTGTTAATTGATATTCATTAGACTCACAGTGATGTCAGTACAAGAAAAAACAAATGACACTTTTTCTCTCTCCCCCCGGTCAGAAGAGACAGTGTAACTTTAATTGAAAAAAACAAAAAAAACAACACTGCTGTAGAGAGAAGTGATATTAGTTTGGTAAAGAAAAGGTGCACCTTTTCAAAAGTACAGTAGCAGCTGGAATATAGGAAACGACTCTAGTCTTGAGTTCATGAAAAAGACTTTAAAATAAATCTTGTAAAAGCAATACCGTATGATTAAATATGTAAAATTAGGCACTTTTCTGTATTAAAATAGAATTACCTGAAAATCATTGGATGGGTGTGTAAATGGATATACTTTTGCTCCCTTTAACACATCAAATCACGAATCATTAGACAATCTCACAGTGCTTGCCCTCTTCTTACTTTATAATTAGTTAAGAAATTATTACAGAGGTTAGAAAAACACAAAAAAAACGAAAAAAAACCACTTTAAAAAGCATTAAAGGTGACATTTAAAATCATTAAAACAGGTATAAAAAATTACATCAAGATAGATATCAAATAAACTGAAATAAACCAGCAAGAACAGACGTTTAAAAATATGATCGTTTAAAAGTAGAAGCATTAAAGGGACAGTGCAGAATTGTGTTTCAAAAATAAAGATAGACATTATAATATCAATTAAGGCACCTCCAAAAAGGCGAGTCTTAGTAGACAACAGACTGTTTCTGATCGTTTGTTTCAGTGAATTGGAGCATGTAAACTGAGTGCTGTTCTTCCATGTTTGGTCCTGACTTTTGGACAGACAGCAGACCTGCTCCACATTACTTGAGTGGTCTGCATTTGGGCTGAACGATTTTGGACTATAATCTAATCTAATTATTCTTTCAGTGTCCTTTTTTATGTACTTTTCAACAAACAGAAACTATAAATCAATCTGTATTATAGTGAACTATATCAGATTTAGTATGAATAAATTGTTCCTTCTGGCAATTATCATTTCTTTGGATCCCTGTCTTGTTGGCCAGTCAGTGCTTCAGTTATTTCTGCCTTCTTCTCCCAACTTTTGGAAAAGTTCCCCACCACCTTCCTGCACAGCCTTATTGCTCTTGACTCTCTGTCGTCTTTTAATGCATGTACTGTAATACAAAATAATACAAGAACAGTGAGTGCCCAAAACACTGGAATCAACAGCTAACAGTAGGCGTCCATCTTGGTTTTCCGGCTTGTTTACTGGAACACCGTCAACTTAGGTGTAGTGTCATTCCCAGCTCCGACATTCAACTCTTGAGGTACCTGAATGCAGCATTACCCCATGGTGCAACAGCGCACAGCATTGACTTGTCTCCCTGCCTGCTCTGCTGTGCCCCGCTCCCTTGCATGTCATGTAACCAGTCAAAATCGCAGCCCTTGCAGTTAGAAAATTGCGTTTTATCATATCATGATGTAGTCACGAATGCAATTAATCGTTCAGCCCTAGTCTGTCTGGTTCATACTAAACTAGAAGAACGCTTGTGTATTTCGGCCCTAAATCATTCAGAGCTGTCTAAACCAGCCACAGTGTTTTAAGATCTATCCTCTGACAAACAGGGAACCTGTGTAAAGACCTCAGAACTGGACTGGACTGGATGTGATTCACTTTTTTAGGTCTTAGTGAGGACTCGTGTGGGCAGACCTGTAAAGACATTGTTACAGTAATGAAGTGGACTGAAGATAAATAGACAAGTTTCTCCAGGTCCTGCTGGGACACAAGTCCTTTAATCTTCCATGCTTCAGGTGAAAGGAGACCGTCTTTGTAATCTTTCCCTCTCGTTTGACTGACTCAGAGTGATGCCCTCCTGTAATACTGTTGCCAGGTTAGAAACACTTGAAAAAGAAAACATGGTAACACCAGCCTTGTCACGCTGTGCACCACACTGTGGAGTTTCTTTTCTTTAGGAAACAGTCATTCAAGAAGCAGAGAGCGAGGACAAAGAAGCACACGGTGCTGACTTTTATATAAAAGGCTTAAAATATGTTTTAGTTTTGTGAATAGATGAACAGAAATGCATTTTACGTTATCAGAATGAGAATCCTCGGGTATCATCTTTTAACCAGAGTCTACCTACAGACCCTCCGCCAGACTTGATGAACCCAGCATGCAATTGCAGTAGGGCTGCAACTAACGATTATTTTGATAATCGATTAATCTGTCGACTTTTTTAATAACTAATCGATTAATCGGATAAACAGGCTAAATTCATCAATGCAGCTGTTAATAGCAATAGCATAGGGCTTTAGTTTATCATATGAGTTTATCTGCCATGAGGTGTTGAAGTCTCTGCATGTGTAGGTTACTGACTTACTGTAATCATCGGGTCTTTCTCGTCCTTATAAAAACCTGCTCTATTTCGGCGAGTGTCTGTCTTCCTCTGTAGTCAAACCGCAAGATATCAAAATCTACCCGGATACAGCAATGCTGCTTTTTGATTGGCTGTTCAGTAGATATACTTTATTTGATTGGCTTGCGCGTGGCACGCAGCTTCTGAACTGTCGGAGAAACTCAGTTGATTTCCACCGTTTACATAGTTAAAGAAGTGCAACTTGGTGGACATCACCATGTTCATTTAAATGTGTGAGAAATACAATGTGTGGTGCGTGAGCGTGTGAACGAGTGGGAATGCGTGTGTCATACGCTGAATGCGTGAGACTTGAGAGCCCTGTGCTCACGCATCATCGATGTACTCCCGTGCCATGCAAAACGGTCTTTGCAAATGTTGCACTGAACGCCTTCCTTTTCAGTCTTGGTAAAGTTTTCCCACACCATGGGTTGTGTCCATGACTTTCTCAGCCGCTGCCTCGGCCATGGCTGTTTCTTTTCTGTGCGTCCTGCTGATGTTTACACGCCGGTGTCCATGGACATATATAAAGACCCGACGAATCGATTACAGAATTAGTTGGCAATGGATTTTTTCGTCACGACGAATCGACTTAATCGATTCGTTGTTGCAGCCTTAAATTGCAGATGGCTTGCCACCAATAAGTTTGGTCTTGCTTGAGATTCACCCTGCCAAAAAAAAAATGTTCAATGTGTCAAGCTGGGGACACTTTGTATTTTACCTTCTTCAAAACATCTTTCTGCCACTCAGCGACCTTTACAAACAACAAGTGCTCGGATAAAGTACAGCCACAAAAACTGAAATCGATCATGTATTTCTGGACGTCTTTCTCACTTTCTCCTTCCTGATCTCAGCGTCCTCTGTGTTTCAGAGACAGCAGCACTGGGCCCAAATGATAATCGAGGGCTGTCACCTCAGCCAAAAGTAAACATTATCCAGTATGTCACTCTGAACACCTCAAGGACAAGACAGAGAAAGTATGAGTGAGGACAAATGGACCACAGATGTCTCTCAGCGGGATTTAGTTTAGTTTTACTGCTTTTATTCGTATGGAAAGGTGCCAGTGAAGTGCAAATAGATGTCAAAACAGTCAATAGAGCCTTACAGACAAGCACTTCATTTGAAGGGCTAAATATAAGGTGATCTGCATTTTATATTTAAAAGCATTAAAAAAGATCTTGTAAATTCTGGCTACATAAAAAGCTTAAATATCATTTTATCCATTCTTTTCCTTTCTAACCCCCCTCCCCATCCCTCATCCCTCATCCCACACCCAAAACCATCTCTCAGTGTGTCTCTACTCTTTATCTCCGTCTTACTGTTTCTCTTTGGCTCGCCTCTGATGTTCACAGGGAGATCTCGACATCCCTAAATCATCATCAGAATGAGAAAGGAGTCCCAGGGCTAATGCAATGCAGATATGTTGTCTTTTGTGTCGGAATATGAGAAAAGGAATTTATGTGAGGCGCTCGGTGAGTCAGAATTCATTTCTTGCTCAAGCTTTTGCCCTGCAGTCAAACGTAAACTGACTGCAGACTCAGCTGGCTGACTGAGTGAGGACACACACAGACACGAGCGCACACCCCAAACTCGCACACACTCACACAAATTCATCCCACTCTGTATACACGCATGGACTCCTTCAACACTCAGCACACCAATACACTCGTGTTCACCCCAGTAGACTGTGTCTGTGTGCTCTGAGTGGCCTCTCTATCCTTGAGTGACAGGTGGACATGGGTGGCACAATGGCCGCCAATATTGTCCAGCGACCATGGTAACAATGGCTGGTCTCCAGGGAAATGTGGAGCCTCAAAGTCGCCGGCCGTCAGACATGAAAAGGCGAGAACATTTCAGGTGGTGAGGAAAAAAAAGAAACATTTGGAGGGTTTGTGCTAATCAACATTGCCGGCGGCAAGCGCTTTGATAGGGAAAATGGATTCTGATCCTTGATTATAATATAGGGCACAATCTGAAACAGCTCAAACACACATACACACACACACACGGAGACTGAATAAGCAAGCTAGAGAACCAAGAATGTGATTTTCTTGACCATTCAATACATCATTTTGTGGTTATTTTCCATATCTGAGGAATAACATGAATACTCCACTGGAAGAAATGCAACCACAGCGTACACATATTAAAGGTCTGATTTTGCAAAATACACAGGGGACACACACAGAGAGCAAAACGAACATCACGGGGTGAAGAGTATCAATGAACAGAGATTATTTCAAACAATATGATGCTGTTTACGATTATGCAGGAACACAGCCTCCATGCATGCTGGTCATAAAGGCGACTAAAAGCTAACTATCTGTGGGTGTTTGTGTATAATGTGTTAGAGAGAGAGAGAGAGAGACAGACAGGGAGGAGGAGGAGAGAGAGAGAGAGAGAGGGAGACAGGGAGTGATGTACTCTTATCAGTCTTCCCAGTCCTCAGCAGCAGCAGATAAACAGAAGTGTGAAGGGCAGTTGCGCTGCAGGGGGCTGATTGACATGGCTGGTGCCCAAAGAATTACACACACACATACACACACAGTCACAAACTCACACACACAAACATGTTTGCCTTCCCTTGTGCGTATGTCCACAAAAGCATCATCTACTAAATTCACTTCCACTGTCCACAGAATATTGTCAGCATTCATTTATGATTGGTTATAATAAGTTTAGTTTAATGAATCCAGATTAAACGTATCAACGTCCAGTTTTTGGTGCTTTATTAGTTAAATTTTATTTTGCTAATATTATTTAAACATTTTAGGAGTTCTTGAGGCTTAAAACTGCTTTATAGTTGGCAAGAAACAAGCAAATTATGGACAAATCTTCATGAAACCTTCCCTTCTTATCCTCTAATAACTTTTTGATTAAAAAAAATCCAGATCTAATTTGGCATTCAAAATAAACTAAGCATCACTGGAGTTAAAACAGCTTAATTTTAGAGTTAAAACACCTGAATATCAGTGAAACTTAAAGTCTCTGTCAATTAAAACACTTTAATGGTCAAAGAAAGATCTAGAAGAACTTGAAACATTCAATTTTCAGGCTTGAGTCTATCAGTATACATTTACATGCACAGTTAAGTCAAGCTGCGATCAGAGCTCAGTTCGGTGATTTATCTGGACAATGGTCCTTGTCCCAATTTACAAACACCAGGTGAGGAATGAAGTTATTGACCGAAGCGTGTCTGCCTCCTCTACAGTCGGTGGCGACGTCTAGAAGTGTCTAAACGGATGTGCGATGAACATTTGTAAAACATCCTTTTTAACGTACGATATGAAAGCTTCATCTTTTTTACATCCTTTTATCCTTCTGTCAGGGTTTTGTTCTCTTCCCTGCTTCCTAGCGACGCTTTTACGCTCCTCACCTCCAGAGTCAAAGCCTGGCATATACAAACTCTGGAGCATGCTCAGAACGCTCAGGCCAGTTTCAGTCTGATGGAGCGTAGACATGGAAGAGAAAATCAATTGGCAAGCACATTATCTAGGTATGTCAGTCCCACCCTGGGAAGTTCAATTTGGTCCCATTCTAAGTCCACTTGGACAAAACCATTTCAAATTGTAAACATATTACTTTAAGAGATTATGCTCCATTTCAAGTGTGTTTTTATGAACGCCTTCTGTCGCTTTGAAAGAGCAGCACCTTTTTTGTTGAGTCATTAGGTGTTAGTGAACTAAATCTGTATCTGTTTCAGACCAAACCAAATATTATATAAATTCGAGGCGGATTTATCTATGTTTTAGCACCACACACTCATTTATTTGTGTTGTATTGCAGAGAAATCAATCTAATAGAGTAAATATGAGCCAATTTAAGCCATGCTACAGTAGGTGTGTGTGTGTGTGTGAGTGAAGATTAAACACTACCTCAGTACTTGCAGAGAAGCTGAAAGCAAATAGGGGATTAAAGCAGATGAGAAGAAGAAGAAGAAAAAAAAAAACTGGCCCATGTCTCAGGGAGGACAGGAGAGAATGGAAACGACAGGGAGAGGCTTGACTGACAGCCAAACACACACCTTAAGTGCGTTCTTTGAATATGTGTAGACATAGATTTAAATTCTCGCTTGTAGAATGCATGTGTAACTCTACATACCACCTAGGTATGTTCGGCGTGCTCACGCATTTTAGTTTGTATTTATGAACCTGTGAGTGTGTGCACGACTCTATGTGTGTGTGTGTGTGTGTTTTTTTTCAGCGTGTTAGCAGATTATTGAGCAGGCATGCCCTGTGGCGTCATGCTGTTCCACACCAAACAGTGAAACCAATACCTTTTTGTAGCTGATAAAACTGGATGGCCAGAGATAGGCATGCATATTATCACACATACACACACGCGCGCACACACACACACACACTCACACACACACACCTCGCCTCCTAACCTGTATGTTTTTATCGTGCATGTACTAAGCTTACAGAGGTTTGCTTTTGCGTGTTATCTTTTTGTGTGTGTGTGTGTGTGTGAGTAATTCACTGCTACAAAGACACCGTACACTCTCCCTCCTACACTTTCCACTTCCCCTGAGACAAAGTCCCAATTTCTCCGTTGCCTGCAGTCAGACAGAAAGATGAGGGGGGCAGGAGGAGGAAGGAGGGGAGAGAAGGAGCAGGAGAGTAAGGAGAGGTAGCGCAAAGAAAACCCAGATGCTATCAACCCTCAGAGAGTCACCAGGGTCATTGTCATGTGTCAGTCAGTGTAACACAACTCTCCCTGATAAGCCCGCCGATTGCGGCGATTGGCCACGACGGGTGACAGCGCGATACCGTTCTGTGCCTGCGCTCCTGACGAGACACGAAATTAACCCCCAGCGCTTTGCCGATAAACATCTAAAATGGTTTCGCGACCCCAGGGGCTAATGGGAAGAGACGGGAAGCTATCAAAATATCAAATGTGCGTGACAAGCGGCACAAGGACCAGGTCTGTCAAACACTCGCCTCTCCGAGTGTGATTTAACTCCGTGTCTCCCACAAAGCCTGGCAGCACCGAGCTGAGGAATGAGCCAGTGGTTGCATCTGTCTGTACACAGTGAAGCCATATTTTAATAGACATATTTATTTAGTCGAACCAGTGTGGGGTTCCTGGTTTTAATTAGGTAAACAGCTCGTCAGGAGGAATCAATGGTGATGCTTTAATGAAGGTCGGCCCAGGCTAATCACTGAAGCCTTTTCTGTCATGTAGAAATTGTCATGAAAGGAGTAAATGCAGCCATCTCTTTCTTCCAAGTTACAGATCGCTCTATCCCACGTTGGATATGTGTGCAGTGTCTGCCTGCAAGCATGCGGCCTGTCTGTAATTTTTTTAGGTTCATGTCCTTGGATGGGTCTTTGAAGGACAAGAGAGCATGTAGCATTGGACACAGAGGCCCGTGTGTGTGTGTGTATGTGTGTGTAGGTGTGTGTGTCATGTGTCTCAGCTGGGTGACATGTGAAGGTGATGGGTGTCACCGGTGTCCCTGTCGTCTGAGGGCATGTCTCCCACTGCTGGCTGTGACACCAGCCTGACTGACTTATGATCGGGATTTATCATCTTGATTTATGATGAGTCTGGTTTGTCCCTCTCACAGTCAGGAGGATGAGGAGGTCTGGGTTTTGTGTGTGTGTGTGTGTGTGTGTGTGTGTGTGTGTGTGTATTCTTTAAAGAGAGATAGGCAGAGCTTATGGTCTGGCCTAGGTAAGTCCCCGGTAATAAAAATCTACACAGAATTTCTATTCCTAAGATATTATAACAGGACTTTCATCAGTTGTTTTGATTTTGCTTGTCAGGATTTGGTAAAAGAGCTGATACTGGGTGTTGCGTTGGTTCATTATAATTTGGTATTTACCAAAAGTTAAAACTCTAACCAATCATAGAAGGGTATACACCAAACCCCTCCCACACAAGCACAACAAAGCTTTTCCTCTCCTGCTCAGACTGACAGACTTTAGGTCTTATCAGGTTCATTTCTTAGTCCCCTTTGTTATCAGCTTGCTTATATTTGGTGAAACACTCGACCGTGTTGTTAGTCAGCCATGGTAGAGTCATGTTAAAGCAACATTCATTTACCTCAAGACTGGATCAGCAACTTTGTCCAAAAAGCTCAGGCCATGCCAGATGTTGTAAATTCTTGTACCCTCAGCCTCTGCCTTCACCTCTTATTTTCCAACTTTCTGTAATTACAAGATAGTTTTAGCCAAAAACCTCTTAAAAGTGATATATTTTATAGACCTTCAAGAATAATGGACTTAACTTCCTTGTTTTTAGCAAAATGACAACCTCAAGTCAGGGTGCTTTAGCTGGTAAGGATTAGCTTAAACTAACACATTAATTCACCTCTTATATAAACTAAATAACATAAAATACATTTTTAGGCATTATATCAATACAGGCATTGAGCTTTATGAGAAATAAAATACACATGGATTCAAAGTGTGCATCAGGCAACAAGCTATGAACTAAATGAATCACGTCTGTGTTAACCGTGACTATCACCATAACCGTAGCATCTTTGCTACCACTCGGCAACACGGATCTCGACCAAACTTCTCAAAAACGTTATAAAGGCACTTCATTTTAGCTTGTCTGCGAAAAGAAATATATACAAACCTTGCGCCTCTATCAACCAAGTACTTAAGCAGCTTACAGCGATCGTTATTAGCCATTGTGTGTCTTGAATTCACACTTTGTTATTACCGTTCATCGACTGATAAATTTCCTTTCAAAATAAAGGCATTGGTCTCTGTCTTACAGGACTTAGATTGACTAAATTAACACATAATGTTGTTCATTTACATGTAATATCCCAGCTTTCTGGATGAGGATTGTTTTATACAAACTCATGCAGTTAAAGACTTCTCCACTGTATAACACCCGTCTCCCTTGGAATCCAGATTGCACTGTTTTAATCACTTTTTGTGTGAAAGTCTGTCACTGTAAATGTGAAGCAGGGTGTTGCAGAGAGTGAAAATGATTCTCAGGTTTTTCCCTGGATGAATGAATCTATGAAAGCACATTCAAGAGTGGATACTAATTAAAATGACTTTTTTAAATGTTCAGAACTTTGATCACAAAGGCCCTGATAGAGTGATCATACCGTGCTACGTGTCATTGCTGCAAACTCTCAGTCATTTTCCCTTCATATTGTGCTGTAACAGACAAGCAGAGTCTTGACTACTAAATGCCAGGCACAGGGACATGGGGGCTATTTAGTAAACATCTTTCAATTCCATGCCAGCCGGCTGGCCGTGCAGCAAGGCAGTCTCTTTGCTTCTCCTCTCTATGTTAGGATGCAGAGAAACAGGCCGACTACAGACCCAGGGGATGGAGGAGGAAAGGGGGAAGAAAAGGAGGAGGAGGAAGAGGAAGAGGGGGTAAGAGACAGAAAAGAGAGAAGGAGGGCACTGGAACACATCCACAGATTAACCCTCACGGAGGAGAGGAAAAATAGAGCGGAACTGAACGTACGTGTGTGTGTGTGTTTGTGCGAAAAGAGAGGGAGGGAGGTGGAGAGCTGCGACATTCAGAGGCATCTGGGCACAGTGACACGGAGGTGCCCATTTTGTCTCTGCCATACACTGGACACCAACAAAGAAAAATACAACAAATACACACCTTTAATTCTTCAATGGGACCCTCTATCCTTTCATCTGGCCCTCCCTAGACCTCCCCCTGCCCTCCAGCAGCCACAGCTAATCCTCTCCTTCAAACTCCCAAATAAAAGCAGCAAAGAAGGAGGGACAGGGCAGAGATGGGGGTTATGGTAAAGAGGGTTTCTTGCCCCCTTGTGCCTTCACACTTCCATTTGGTACAGAGCTCAGCCTGATAGAAAGACTTTTTTTTTCGATGGACAGAAACACATGCCAGTGTGCGTGTATTCACATATCGTGTCATGTCTAAGAACAAAATCCAGAGCCTGTAGGGTTAACATGTATTTAGGATTCAGGCTTAAGTTTAGATGATAACTCAGGATCAGGGTTGGGGTTAAACATGAAGTGTTCAAGCTCAGATTCCAGGGAAAGTCAAAAGCACAGAGTGACAGTGCAGGTTTGTTTTCAACTTCTATAATGACTCTCAGAAGTGATTTTAGGTTTTACATTCAAAAGGAGAACTTCTCCAGAGAAATGTTAAACCCTGAGCACTGACATTAAATCAATTTTAACCACCTTTCTTGATATTTGATATAGTATTTAGGAAAATGAAGGATTTTGTACCTTACAGATTGGCCTGCTAGATCTGTTTCTTGGATATTTGGCTTTTGTGTTATAAAATAATATTTGATAAATTATGATAAACACTTTTCATGTACCATTTAATAGCATGAGCAGCCCTGCTGATACATTTTAACATGTATGTTTATTTGCAAAGAAATGTATTTTTTACTTTTCTGTCTGAAAAGAAAACCCACACAACTCTGTCTGTCTCTGGTGTGGCCATCCATGCCTTGGGGCACACTTAACACAGACTACTTAGTATGTTGTCCTACAAGAGGACACTGGCAGAAAGTGATCAAACACAAACTGTAACAGAGTTTGATTATTATTATTATTTTTTTCCATTAACTCAAGTTCTCTCTGTCTGAATAATGGTGCATTGACAGTAAAATGTACCACAAAGGTGTGCTCTTTTAAGTTTCGGCATACATGCGTATCCCCCCTGTGCAACTCCTTTTAAAGTTAAGTTCTCCTAAAATGCCCCATCCAAATGTGAAAAACAAAATACTTACAGAAACAGTAGCTGAGCCACTCATATGTGGAGATTTAGAATTGAGTTTCTTGTTTTAGCACAACCAAAAAGATCTCTCGGAGACCTCTTAGTTGTCACAAAAGTGTAAAATAATCTAACACAAACCCTGGGCATCTTTGTACTTTTAGGGCCAGGGCGACTGGCAGTGCTGATAAACCAATGCAGTCTAATATTTTCAGTGCTCAATCTCCTAAGCATTTTTTGTTGTTGTTGTTGTTGTTGTTGTTGCTGTTGTCGCTCACAAAACTCTCAGCTGAAAATAGTTCAACTTTTGGGCTTGTCACTATCCCTCAAGGACCAATTAATTAATCTTAAGATTAAAAGAGGACAGATGTCTTCTGATATCAACTATGACAAGAACAATGGTGGTAGTGAAACTCACCCAGCTTTAATTTTCCATTAATTTTTGAAGTTTCAAGGGCTGTTGCTAATGCAAGGACATTTTACTTTGGGGGAAGGAAGAGCGACGGCGAGCTAGTGAGCACTGCCAAAGGAAAAAAATCACTGTTAGTGGACACAGGCCCTTAGAAACATTACAATGTTTTTACTGTGCTGCTACAGACATTTGCTTTAAGGCGTTTCACAACTGGCATGACTGCTGAAGCTGGGGTATTGACCAGAGCAAATGGACGGATGCCTTTTATGATTGTGTTTTTCTATCAGACCATATCCATGCTGTGCAAAACCAGAACATGAGTGCATATTAATGCTATCAAACAACACCAGGACCAGTTTTATTTGCTTAGTGTTTACATAAAGTCAGTATATCAAAAATCATATACTTAACAGAGCTTCCTTCTTTCTGCTGTGCAAAACCTTGAATGTTATGATGGCTGTAAAAGTATGTAAGAACATATGTTCATGAAAAAATCCCTTTATTTCCATCAAAATCAAAGTAATGAACCAGCCTTTGAAAATAGTAGCTAAGTAGAAGAAAAAGTCATTTATCATGGTTGAATAAAATTTCAAACACATAACTATAACTGAATTTCTTCACAAGCTACAGCTTTATCTGGCAGCATTCAAAGAATCATTCAGTCTTACAAAACAAGTCTTCAAACATGGTGAACGCATACTTGCCTTTGATATAATGGTAGCCCCAGTATTGTACATCACATGTTCCCCGCTGTGGTGAAAGCTGCTATGTGTGTTGATGTGAGTGTGCATGCATGTTCAATTCTCGTTTCTGTTGTGGAGCCGGAGAGAGCTGCACAGATCCAGATACACAGTCAGATACACCAGGGAATAGCTGTGAGTGAGTACTGTTGGTTTGTTTGACAGGGACCTCTTACCCCTGTCTCTCTCACCTCAGATAGAGAGAGACAAATACATGGGGCTGGCAGATAGAGGCAGATAGAAGAAGAGTGAAAGGGGGGAGCACAGAGAGCAAAGAGAGAGAGAGAGAGAGAAACATAAAGATAGACCACGAGGTGTTGAAGACGGGCCTGGGGAATAGGAGGCAGAGCATAAAGGCGCGAGAGCAAAGCGCCGAAGGAGGGGCGACAATAAAGGGGTTGGGGAGAGAAGGAGAGAATTAAGGGAGGAGAGGGGTTAGAGAGAAAGGGAGGGGAAAGGGAGAGATAAGGAGGGAGAGAAAGCTTGGCACTGCACCGGGTAGTGGAGGGTTTATTATTCTCTGTAGCACTCAATCAAACGCCGGCCCTCTGAACAGAGAGCAATGCTGGCGAATCATCCTGGGGGCTTTCTCTCTCTCTTTCTTTCTTCCTCTCTCTCTCTCTCTCCATCCCTACCCTCCTCGCCCTCCCCCGCTCTCTCTGTCTTTTTTTCCTGCGGTGTATGAGTGCTATCCATCTGTCAGCTGTCAGTGCCAGTGAGAGATATACAGAGCTGTCACTTCGCGTCAGCCTGGGTTTGGGAGGCCCTTTTTGCAGCTGCTGCTCTACACATACTTTGCCTATGGCGGCACAGGAGCACAAACACTGACACACACTCTCTTACTCACACACAAACACTGATGCTGGAACAATATATTGGTTCACAGACACTAGTCAATTAAAAGCTTGAAATGAGTCTTTTCAGGGTTGGAGGGATTATAAACACACAGACTTTAAGTTCTGTCATTATTCGTTCAGTCCATAAATTTTCTCTAGACTTAACGTTACATTTTTAGATTGGCAATGTTCGCATCACCCCGTCCAATGGGCTCTAAACATTTGGATGGTAAAAACCAAGGCCTGACACAAAGCCTCGCTACACCAGCAAATAATAAAGTAAGAGATATAAAATTATCTATTGTGCAAAAGCTTAATGACGAGATTTCATGATGTGTGAATTAAGGTGACGCATTTGGATGAAACTGTTTGTGTTTTTCTGGGGAGGACTGCATTTCCCATAAGCCACCACCACCATTGAGCGAAGAATATCACCCAAGCTTTTTTTCACGTCAAACAAAGCAACCAAAATTCAGTACAAAGAAAAATCCAATCTTGTTCCCTGATAATCACATTTTACTAACTAGGTCGTGAAGAGCCCTCAGATTAAGAGTGACACCATTTCAAAGTCAGTTAAAAACTCCTCAGTGCTTAATGCTCATCGTGATTCTGTAGGTACCATTGGACTGTGAATATATACTGTATGTTTTTTTTCTTTTTTTTTTGGTAATAAAATGATTTCTTTGAGAGTCATTTTTGTGGTACACAAAGTTATATTTAAGTCTATAAAATGTCCAGAAGATCATCTGAGTAAAAAATAACGTAAATGAATAATCAATTTTCAAGGAGGCATTTTTCCCATCATTGATTTTGTTTATTTTGCTGCTTTCCCGTAGCTTTAGAGGGCAATTTCTCATTTAAAGAACTTATATCGACACTTATCTGTACACTCAGCTATAATACCAAGGGAAGGAAAGAAGGAGAGACGCAGTGATTAAGTGATAGAGTCATTTAAAATAAATCCAAGTAATCGAACATCGAAGTCAAAGGTGTGTCAGCAATCTTTTCAAGATAGTGGTCAAAATGCAACAAAACGTTGAACAGCTGCCAGAGACAAAAAATATGGTGTCACTGAGTGTAATGTCTGAAAAAGCAAGCCCAACAGATCGCCCTTATAAGAGCCATCAGGCAGAGAAAATCCAGCATTGATGACTGACAAACTACAGGTGATTTGCATTTTATGGTAAAAACAGTTAATAGGGTTCCCAAGTGCCTTATTTAGATAGGAGATAGATAGATAGTCAGAAACTTTTATAGTCACTGTAATAAAATACAACAAAATTCCATTTGTCTGTCCCATAAGTGCTTAAAAGGATATTCCAGCGTAAATTATGTTAGTTATGGTCAAGTTATGGTTATGGTCAAACACACCGTAACACTGAGTAAGACACCCCCTCGAGAGATGAATGTTGCTGACTGCTTGCTTCTCCAGTTATACCAACTTCAGCATCGACCGCACAATAGCAATACACAGCAGTCCACGTCTCCACATGCACACCTCAACCAAAACGCCACTCTATCTTTTTAGATATTACCTAAGCTTTTTAGCTTTACCTAATTTCTTTAGCAAAGAGACCAAACACAACTCCCCCACTCTCCTCCAGCAGCCTCTTGTTTGTGGGGGAGCCCTGATGAGTAGATTACAGATCACCAACACTTATAAGATATTAAAAACAATGTTATCAAAAATATGTTTACTCTTTTATCCGTGGGTATCTTTATCTTAAATATTTTATTCCAAACAAAAACTAAATCTAGTCTACAAAAAAGGGTCTTATCACAATCTGGGCCATCCTGTACTCAGACCATTACGTTAATAATATAAACAGTTAATCCAAGGTAAAAGCTCATTCAAGAAATACCAAATGAGAAGCTGCAATGACTCCCAGGACCTTATTGAAAAAGACCAGCAAGATGTTGATGACTTGAACGTTGAAAACATGCTGGATGTCAAGCTACTACTTAACCATCTTTGTGTTTAATTGTGTGTTGCTGTTACATATTGGCACCCCATGAACGTCTTGAAAGAAATTATTGGGATTTATGTGTCTGTAACTGGTGGTAGTTAGCCTTAAACAGGGTGACTGCTGTGCAAGGATGGATAGGATGGAGGGGTAGGTGGTGTTGGGATGGATATGTGTGTGTAGTTGGGTGGCAATTATCCAAATTAATTGTAGGCCTCTGTTGACACCACTCAGGAAGAAGATGTGAAGACTACGAATGTGTTTTCTATGACAACAAGAGAAAAGGGGACGTGTGTAGCTTCCCTCCATGCCTTCCATTTGTATATGTTGACAAGATTGTGGGGTTTTTGTGCCTATTGTGCCACTCCTGCCATTCTAGCACCAATTGTGTTGGGTTTTGGGGGCTGGTTATTAGAGGGTGACAGTTTCTGGGCGGAAACAAACACGACTCTGACGATTAACACCATGTCACCATGTCAGCTCATACAGTAATCCTGATATTCTGTCTATCGCACATGTGTGCAGAGGGAGGGAGGGAGGGGGAGGCGAGAGGAAGGGACAGCGAGGATATCACAGAAAAGAGAGGGAGAGAAAGAGAAAGAGGCACAGCTGAGATCCCAGGAGAGACAGATAAAGCCGTGTCGTTCATTCAGGACATTGTGTACGTGGAGGCGTACTGTAATGCAATGTTAACATTCTTCCCAATCCGGGGCTCTCCACAGGGAAGAGCGAGGCCTGCTGGGGGATCTGTTTAGTTGATCAGACGTGCCAGTGCTCTCGCCAGGCAGGGGAATAGAGTAGTGAGGGATACAATGGGAGAGCAGGGCGTGACAGACGAGGATGAGATGGAGAAGAGCGTCTCAAGGCTAAGCATGAATAACACTGCATACAAAGGACAAGATAGTGTAGTATAATGTAGTATCTGGTTGGAGTTTGATATCGTAGGTTAAGAAAGCACCAATACAAATCTGATAACAGGCTAGTAAGTATTCTTGAGCTCACTGCACCAGCTGTTTGCAAATTCAAACTTTAGCCTAGTGTCACACTTCAAAGTAAATGACAAAAAGGGGATTTACACCATGAAATAATGTAAAAAATAATCAAATTTATGGATCAATCAGTCATGAATATGGGTGTAATGAGTGTTGAGTCCCATAAAAAGAGCAATGCAAACACCAAACCAGCTGCTGCAGGTCTTAGAGAGAGAAGAGACGGAGTTGTTTGTGTGGAAGCGTCTAAATATGCCAAGGTCCGACATCCTTAGGTTTCCTGATGTCCTACCTGGTTCTGCTTAAAGCTCCCATGAGGTCAACTTTGGTTACTCCTGTGGACAAATGAGGATTTGAATGAATGAATATTTTGAGAGACAGGAAATGCAGGGAGCAGAGGTTGCAGCAAAGGGTTGTTACTGGAAATCGAACCAACAACAACTGCACTGAGGACTATAGCCTCCATTGGGACATGTATACTGCTGGCCATTGGTGCCCCAGTCTTTGCCTATCTAGTTCTCTACTTCTCAATCAGTGGTTTTCACAAAAACCTCATCTTGCTGACTACAGGAGGCAAATGTATCATTTGCTGCAAATGAGAATTTTTTTTAGCCAACCTTGAGTCTAAAACGTCCAACCATAGTATCCTTGTGTCACATTGTTGAATCATGCCGTATCACTTTAAATTGTTCTGTGTTGAATCAGATTGTGTTGAATCATGTTACTCTGTATTGTCATTGGGGTCTTGGTCATATAGTCTGGTATATGCTGCATAATTATTTATCTTTAAAGTACCATGATTCGATTCAGGCCTCAGACCAGGGATGCTCAACCCTGGTCTAGACCGTACTTTTTGCTACATCATTAACAAAAAACCCCAACAATCTTATCTTCACTTCACCTTTAACTCAGCATTAAGTAACTCACTAAGGCAAGGAGAAACTTCCTTTGAAGAGGAAGAGTCATTTAATGCGTGTTGAATATTTTACTAAAAAACCAGCAGACTCAAAGCAGGCAGACAGACAGAGCAGGATGTCACCCCAGGTCTTTCTGTAGTGTGTTATAGCTCAGACTTTGTGTGGCAAAATTAGAAGAGGTTACACAACACAAGACAGCTCTTAGCTGTAAAGTTTGCTTCGTCATATGAAACGTTTAATATAACTTTTTTTGAAACAAATTACCCAAATTTGAAAAGGGGAAAAGGATAAAATAGACTAAAAGTTAATTGGTTTGCATATTCACCCCAATTATTTGACCTTCATCAAAACTGAAACAAGCAAAAGTTCATTCTTAAACTCGTGTGTAAAGGAGTTGAACTCCAGGAGGACTTTAAGAGTTGGCCTGGATTGGTTGATGCAGAGTACATCAAAGGCTGAGTTTCTCTTTTGCACCATTACCCTGATCACTGAACTGCATTACCCAAGGACCCTCAGTAGATTCTTCTTGGCTCTTCTTTGTCCTCTGAAGACATTTCAAAAAGACGTTTTCATTTAAAGAAACTATACCTAAGAGATCACTGTGAGGTTACACAGATCTCCAGGTGAAAAAAGAATCGTTCAAATCACAGTCATATAGATTTATAAATGTGTGTTTTATTACCACTTCATGTAATGGTAGAACATTTAAAAATATATTTATCTAGTAAGATAATCCACCCTGTACTTCAGTGATAACTTGGCAGTGATGTAGAAAAGGCTAATTGACATGAGCTCAAGTTCACAGACAAGAAATGATTTTTACACTCAGGAGATTAATGCAATTTTTAAAATGTACTTGTGAATATTGGATTCCATTTCTATGAAGTCTACTCTGCTAAATCCAGCTAATTATTTAACTCTGTTTCTTTAAACATTACCAACTTTGCTATTTGACACCAGAGTTATTACTCAACTTTAATAATAACTAATATTTCTATTGCTGTTGGTCCAAAATGCTGGCCATATGTTGTGCACATAGACTATGGACAACTTGGTTCCGTCTTCCGTCATTATACATATTTTGGAAGCCAAATTGCTCTCTGTATTTCCGGGATCTTCTCCACTTGCTGGAACCACCACTTGCGCAGTAGTGTTGTACGCATTCAGCGGGAGAGTCACCGAGAGTCGCAGTGATGATGCTGCGTATCCCCTGGGTGAGCTACGCAATCTTTATACGCTCATAGGCTGTATCAAGTGTCAATCATAGAAAACATGAACCCCCTAATAACTTTTAAAAATGGAGCTGAACAGAAAGAAAGAGGACTTGAGCACAAACCAGTCTTACAGTAACTACTTGTCAACATCGCAACTGGGGGGGAGAAAAATTTATAGTCTGTGTAATTAATTTCTAAAATTTGTCCACAGTTCCATAGGGATTGCTGGAGAAGGCGGGATTTATGACCTATACTGCAGCCCGTCACTAGAGGGTGCTGTTCTCGCGGTGGCTTCACCCTGTGAGGAGGCAGATGATGTCCATTCTATACACTGTTTATGGTTGTGCAAATGCAGTCAAGCCACCTGCCACTAGGAGCTGTTGCTCTGATTAGATGCTGCAACAATGCGATTTCAGTATTGACATGGAGATAAATTTGTATTTTCTAGCATATCGGGGACTTCTGGCATATAACAGCCCAACTGGAGCAATAATTAACAGCACAGACATGGTGACAGTGACCTGCTAGGATGCCCAGAGGTTGGCGGTGCTCGTTTTGGTAGTGTTAGAAAACTGCTGCAAACTATTATGACAAACTTCAAGCACAGGTCTTTTTTTATTTTTTATTTTGATAGCTTGAGCGTTTAGTCAGTGAATATAAAGTTTGGACGGAAATGTAAGTGGCCTTTGTTTATCTCAAGTAGCTTATACATACACACAGGTATTACGTCACATTGAGTAAAGGCAAAGATTAACCTGGGGTGGTGATTTAAGTAAAATTAAATTATTGTGTAGTTTTCGTGGTGCTGTTCCCCACATCATGCACTGTATAAGACACCAACTATGAGCAAATATGCAGTAACCTTAAGTTAGCATGTGTGATGTGGAGCTTGTGCAGAGTTGGAGTAAAATTGGATCTGAAATCCAACCATAAGGCAGGAACGGCTAACTGATCAACAGTCAGATTGTGTTTCATTGTTTCATCCCGGGGCTCTGACTGATATGTTTACCATAGAAAAAGAGTAGAGTGTGTTCGGATGAGGTTGGATAGGAGGTAAAAGCTTATTATTACATTGGACACAGTAGCTTTGCAAAGGAAGGTGAAGCTAGGCCAGTTTATCCACGGGCATTTTTCTATCAGATTGTAACTCAGCAGCACTCCAACTGCAACTCCAACGCCTCTGTGGGCAGATTGGCTTCACCTTCACACTCTCAATCAGCTTTTCTATCATAGAGGTGTCACATTAACATACATGCATGCACACATGACATACAAAATAGATGGCAACTTGCAGATGGGCATGTTTGTGTGCGGGTAAACACACACGCACACACATGCTCTCTACCCCTCCTCCAGCACCTCTCAAACCCATTATTGGCAGCAGTTCAGTGACGGCTGTGTGACTGCCAGTACTGCGGATCTGCTCCTGGAGCGAGCTCTCCCCATCAGCGCTGGCTTGATTACCCTGATGTATGCACACCCAGACACTTGACAATCTCTCAGCATTTACATATGCAGCCTCAGCACTCCACACTACTTCTGATCTGAGGTGTGTATGTGTGTGTGCTAGATTTACTGTTTATGTGTGCGCGGGAGTGTGAGTGTTCATAAGGCGAGTGGGAGAAGATGAGGAGGAGAAAGGAAGAGAGAAATGGCAGCTCTCGCTCGCTAAACGTAAAACAAACAAACTTTAATCCGACGCCGAGCCCCTGCTCTTCAAAGCTGAGACGGAAGTCTGAAGGAGAGAGAGAGAGCCGCCTCACCTAAGGGTGTGCGACGCCGTAAACACACAAACAGAGCATTTACCAGCCGGCCCGTTATTCACTCTCATGTCAAACACATAGCACTCAGAACTAACTACCGCACACACTACCGGGGATAGAGCAGTGTTAAAACCCTCACGAAAGCCTCCACTTGACTGATGTTTTTCTTTCTTTTCAAATGAAAAATCATCATACAAACAACCCCCCCCACCCCAAATCTGATTCAAAAGGGCCTGCCTCTTGTTCTTTCTTTCTTTCCATCTCTGTCAATGTGAAGGAAGTGTCGATGAGAGGCATGGAGAGATGGAAAGAGCGAAGGTCTGGGGAGTTGCACTGTGTCGATCCTTTTTGGCTGGCGCTTCACAGGGAAACCAGGCTCGGCTGATCATCATTAAAACGCACACAACTTGACATGTTTATTTAATGGCTGCTCCCGGCAAAGACGGCAAGCTGCTGCTATCTCTCACCGTCACATGTTGATCTACCACTGTGCCATGTGTGTGAGTCAGGGTGTGTGTTAATCTTTGCATATGTGACTTGAACTCTTCTCTACATGAAGATTTCTGACTCTCTGATACTCAATCAGGTTAGGCCACTTTCTGTTTGGAGTGAGAAGTAAACAATCTAAATAACACTGCAACGTTCAGGAAAGATTGCAAGAAGCTGAAAATGTTGTAGAGATTTCCAGCTCCCCGAAATCTCTGAATTGTTCTCGTTTTGAGTTAAAACACCATAGTGGTGCCACCATGCTGCTCTCCTGATTTCTCTTCCAAAAGCTCATATAAACACTTTTGATGGCTTCAGATTACATTGGCCAACAATCCAAAAAGTGCCACACACTGTTTGACTAAAGCACCCTAAATTGTTACTTGAAAGTTTCAAAAGCAATGTCATTTTTATAAACCACAGTTAGAAATAAATACACCAATTTTAATGAGTTTATGTAGCCCAGCTTCTTAAAAAAGGGCATAAGAAAATTTCTTTTTTCTTTCTAAGCCAGGCTTTATTACATAGAAACAGGATTTATATGCAGCACCACAGCCAAAGCATCTCTTAGGTTAAACTGTCTAAGTTTATGTCAACGTGATATCAATAAATATTCATGTGTAAGGTTTATCAGAGTTCAAGTTGTGCAGTTGTTTGCTCAATTGAAAAGTAAACATATAACTCTAACATATTGTCCAATTTTTTAAAGATATGCTGCAGTTATGTTATGTAAGTATAGATCATGGAAACAGGAACACTTTAGCAGTTATGTCATTGTTTCTGCCCCCCAATGGAGTCATTCTAAATATTTTACAGTAAAAATCAAACCTATTTCTCTTCCACGACCAACACATGACCTTTCACCATGGTATCGCTCAGCTTGTTTAGTCCTATTCCCTGCAGTTGAGAAATACTTCAGAACCGCTGTGGTGCAATGGGAGAGTCAGGTGTCTCCTGTTTGGGAAAAATGGTGGTCCCATCCCAGGTCTTGCTGTGTACTTGCTTAAGTGTCCTTGAGCAACCCCAGACTGGCTGTGCCCAGCAGTGTGTGAATGGGATTAGATAATACTGATAATAATGTCAACAGCCATCTGTGTATATGTGACATGTGATACAAAAGTTTGAGAGGTCAGAAAACCAGAGAAAGTGATATACAAGCAGTCAGTATACTGTCATTTTCTTCTGTTGGGACTATTGTGTTGCACTTTTTACTTGGCTTGATCAATCCATTTTACTGAAGGTGCAGTAGCCAGATCAGTTTTTATGCAACTCCTGCAACTCATGCATGGTCCTGCCTCCAGTTACATTTCTGACCTCCTTGATTCAGATTTTGTGTACTCTGATTATCTGCAAAAGTAAAAGCAATTGTGCATTTGCCCTCTTCCTCTGAAATCAACTCTTACAATCCATCAGGACTGCAGGATCTTTGGGATCTCTCAAAAAGCTCCTAAAAACTCATGTGCACACAGAAGCACTTACATAAACCTCAGTTCTCCCGTTTGGGTTGCTTGTTCCTGTTTTGGAACAACTTTGACTTATTCGTATACAACTTATAATTCAGTTGCTTTTGTACCCTCCTGTGCATGGGGAGTTCAATATTACTAAGTGTTTTAAATGTGCTATTTAATAAAAATAAATGTTGGAGGGCCAATGGCCTAGCGGTCTCATCACCACTCTGATTCCTACAACCGCAAGGCATTTAGTGGCCTGACCCACCACTACCTCCTCCAACGCTGCCTCTGTTTCTGTCTCCTATGCAAAATATACATTATCACTAGCATCTCCACAGTCGCCATGTTTCTTTTTGTTTGTTGTTAACAGAAACTTTTGACTCCAGCCTGCCCCCTGGTGGATGTAATGGTTAACACCCACACCAACGTAGAGGACGCATGGAAGTATGAGGACAGTGACGGAACCACCATTTGAAAAGGACTCGGACATTTTCAACACAAATGACCCTTTAAGGTAACTACGTATGACACAGTAAAAAATAAGTAAGACCAGAGCCAAACTGTTAAAAACATAACAAAGCATTCACGGATCTCCTTAAGTGGTATTGAAAAAAAAATCAAATTAGTGCACAAAACAACTTAAAGAAGCAAACTTACAACTTTGAGAGAGTCTTTTTGCTTTATCCTTGTGTTAAACAAAGACACATAGAACAATAAAGTTCTTGGCTTTTGGGTGAGACACTAAAGAGAAAAGAAAGAAAGTGAAGAGGGATCAGAGGTAAAGAACAGAGCAGATGTGTGTGTATGAGTGAGTGAGAGACTGCAGGGCGGATTAAGGCGACACACTTCCTTTTTTGTTTGTTTGCGTGTGTAAATGCAGTTTTGATGAAATATTAATGGCGCCTTCCAAAATGCCTTGTAAAGGATCCTCTGTCTTTGACTTTTCCATCTGTAGCACCTCAGGTAGGCATTTAGTATGCTGCGCTCTCTGTCAGGAGGGAACCAGCGAACCTTCCATGTGTCGAGCTGTCAGCACAAATCCGCTGCCACTCCGCCCCTTCCCCCACCCCCCGTGACACACCTTTAGTCCCACAGTCTGGGAGCCCAACGCCCCACCCATCACCCTCCCTAATCGCCAGCTCCTCATTCCAGCAGAGAAACTTTTCACACCACATTTCTTGTTCTACTTTTAGGACGACTCTCACATCAAATGAAAGAAGAGGTGTGGGAATGATTGATAGGTTTTGACATTACTTTCATATTTCCTGAAGAAAATCTCCTTTTCCTTTCACAAATAAACTGAGACAAGCTTTCATCTGAGATCACGTTGACGAGGAGCCTGATGATATTGATTGCACTTCAGAGGGCCGCTTGATTGGCAGCTGCCAAGGATCTGAAGATGTTATCCCACCCGTGCACCCCCCCAAACATCAACCCAAAGCCCCTACAGAGGAATCAGATACACCGACAGTCCCTCATCTCACTCTGCTCATGCTAATGCCGCCTGACTGAGGAAGAGTAAATGATAGTGCCTGTTGACAAACATGAGTCCTGCTTGTGGTTTGGTGACTGGAGCCTTCAGTGTGGGAATCAGATCTGAAAGGGGAAGAGTCTGACATTCATAGAGACAGAGGCCATTCTGGTCCCACCCAACCAGGGGGCGAATCAACTCTGGGCTCTCCACTGACCTGGGGCCTCATGTATCAACGCTTGCGGCGCAAGAAAACCTTGCGTACGCCAAAATCGGCGCACACGTCCAGATTTATCATCGCGAAACGAGCGTCGGTTCCAGCGCTAATCAACGCAAAGTCAGGAGGTGGTGTAGAAATTGGCGTTGAGCTGGATATTTGCGTTGACTGTGATTCGCACTTTGGCGACGCTGTGTGGCGGTGTTTGGTGACTCACTATGTGACAAGCGTGCACCACATCCCCGTGGCCGGGCAGCACGTCGCCCCACATGACGAACCAGCAGCAGACGGAGGGATGCGAGCTGATCCCTGCCGGGCCGCCGTCCTCGCGCGGGAGACTCTCATCGCCACAGAGTGAATGGGTAAGAAGTGAATACACAGTTCAAAGAGCCAAATTAATTTATTTTCTCCACCAGACGCTCGAGGAAATTTACGAGCCGGTCCAGCCGCTCGTTGATCCCCGCGATCCCCCTGATGATTTCTTCCTGCGATTGCAGGACCCCCTCCGCGAGGACCCTTCCACTGCGTCCGGGTGGTCCAGCGGAAGCGCCGCGGCTGGTGGACGCTCCACTGCTTGTCGGCGCGCTGGTGCTGATGCTGGTGCTGGTGCTGGGGCCGGGGGCCGGGGTGGCCCGAATGCCGCTGGTCCTGGCCGACGACTCCGAGCCTGCGGACGGGCTGCCGCGGGCCAGGGTTCCGCAAGCCGGTGACACGGCCGACACATTAATTTCTGTGACACAATAAAAATATTAGTTCATTTTAATTCCTGCTTCTGTGTATCTGTTGCGTTTACATCTCTCTCCACGGTGTCATAGGTAATGTAATCCAGTATTTAGGGGTCAGTTATGCACATTACAGTTGTTTATTGCATAAAAAGTTATCGAAAAATGAAGTTAAGGGCGAAGTATAAATCACGTCTAAAAATAGACTGAATCCCGACGTTGAAATGAAGTATAAACTTAGACTAGACGTCTAATATACGTCTTTTGCTCAGTGGGATGACAAAGCATGTGGACATTTGTGTGACACGCCACTTACCCTATAATAATAATCGCCACCACCCGCTGCTCAAACGGTGTGAGGGTCTCCTCCCCCGGACCTTCACCTGTCTGGCCGGTACTCCTCCGGAGGGCAGCTGTACGCCGCTTGACCTCCACCTTGAGGTCCGACCACTTTTTTTTAATCTCCGCGGGGGTGCGTGTCTCGGAACCCACCGCATTCACCCTCTCGCAAAATTTCTCCCACTCCAAGCGTTTTTGTTTTGCACTGACGCCACTGGACAGGCTGCCAAACAAAACACGCTGTCGCTCCTCCGCCTCCGCCACCAGCACCTCCACCTCGCACGCCGTAAATTTAGTTTTTCTTGTCATTTTGTCTGCGTGCGAGGACAGGGAGACCCTATTTAAATAAATCTGCATATTTATAGGAGGGCGTAACGGGGACGGGCCCAGTCACTCCGACATCTGCGCTCAATTCCACGCTGATTGGGATTTATCAAGGAAACACACGTGGATTTCGGCGCCCGCACACATTGATACATACGGATTTTTTTCAGCGTGACGGACCTTGTTTCTGGTATGAGTTCCACACAAGTGTTGATACATGAGGCCCCTGGCATTGAGTGAAGAAGCCTTTTCATCACTTTCATCTGTAGGCAACAACAACAAAAATATGCTAAAATGTTGCTGTGAGCTAGAATGCAAAACCAACACAGTGCAGAGCACACCTGATAAGGGTCTTCAAACATGTTCTGTTCTGATCTAAACCTTTTACCGAAGAACTCTTATCTGCACGATAGATAACTAGGATAGGACTGTATTGCTATGGATGACATGCCTCCACCTCCCTCCATCATAAGAGATAAGGCTACAATGCCACGTCAATGGGTGCTGACATATTGTACTTGTTACATACAAGTCAAGACACACTGGAGTGATCTGGCTGGTGACACTATGAGTCTGATGCCCCACCCTCCCTGCTAACCAGACCACATATTTTAAGGTACCACGTGTAGAAATTATGAGAAGATTTATCCATATCCAAAGGTCAGACTCTATATTAAAGTATGCCACTGCTCAGTCTGCTAATTGGTGAAGCATTTGTGCCTTTGAGAGGTTTAAAGAGCTTTACTGACAAAAGGAAATTTGATCGAAAGAGCAGATAAAAACAGAATATACAGTAAAATGGGGCGTTGTAGTGGCAAACAACCAACAACGGTTAAATATCATAATTTAAGAGTGGGAAGGGTGTCAGTTAAGTCGCTAAAAGTGACTGCAAGGGGGGATCATGGTCATCACCATTGACTGTATACAGAATGGACGCCGTCTGCCTCCTCGTGAGAACAGCACCCTCTGGTGACGGGCAGCAGTATAGGTCATAAATCCTACCTCCTCCAGCAATCCCTATGGAGCTGTGGACAAACTTTAGAAATTAATTACACAGAATATACATTTTTCTCCACCCTGGTTGCGATGTTGACATGTAGTTGCAGTAAGACTGGTTTGTGCTCAAGTCCTCTTTTTTCTGTACAGCTCCATTTTTAAAAGTTATTAGGGGGTTCATGTTTCTATGATTGACACTTGATACAGCCTATGGGCATATGAAGATTGTATAGTTCACCTGGGGAATACGCTGTCTGACCCTAGTGTCATCACAGCAACTCTCGGCGACTCTCCTGCCGAAAGCGTACAATACTACTGCGCAAGTCATGGTTCCAGGAAGTGGAGAAAGTCCCAGAAATACAGAGAGCAATTTGGTTTAAAATTCATATAATGACAGAAGGCAGAGACAAGTTGTCCATAGTATATACAGTCTATGGTCATTAAAGGACACTATCCTCCAACTTCTGAAGTTTTCAACATTATCCCTACATTACTTTGTGTAGAACATCCAAACTCTTCCTCCTCATCTTCAAACCAGTACATGTGGAGTGGCCATTCAGCAAAGATAAAAATACACAAATACGCATACATATAGACCCACAGCCTGTCTGTTATACTAGATGAGGTGGACTTAAAGAACTCTGCTCACAAGGAGCAGCTCCAAAAGTCTTGGCCTCACTTGGAAGAAGGTGCTGTTCCTGTTTTTATACCAAATATGATCCCACGTGTTTTTAGACAACTCCAGTCACTGTGGCCTGAAATGCTCCTGTCTGGCAGGAGTGGTGTAAAACTTTTTTTTCTCATGGAGCTCAGTCTCGATTGGCTGTCTAAGTCCTGTGCTGATTGTGTACACCGAGACTCTCAATCAGTCACCGTGGTGTAATTACAAAGGTGAAGCATCCCACAGTGTCATCAGGAGTGGTCAGCCAGGCACCCACAAGGCTTCCTGTCACAGGGAACAGCTAATTATAGTTTTTTACAATACATGTTTGGGGGAAGGGTGTTTGGGCATGCGGCGCTTCATAATGAGCTTCATTTATAACCCAGAGATGAACATTTCAATCTTGTGACTGGAGGCTGAGGGGCACAACAAATAGTGCTTACAGCTTTATCTTTTTTTACATGTCTGCTCTTGAGCTCTTGCTTTTTATGTGTTTGGAAGTAAGACGGAAAAAGTATTTTCCTGCCCCCAAGCCTCATACAAAGACAGCATAAAAAATATATATATACAAAGAGGGAAAAAAGATGGCGACTGTGGCCCGAGGAGGTATGGCTGTCATAAAAAAAGGCTGGGTTGGGATTTGTTGGTGTCACTCAGTAAATCAGTGGGAGTTTAATTACCAGCCTGGTGTGGAGGAGCCGTGACGAACAAAGTGTACGTGTGGTTATGTGT